ACCATCATAGCCACTGGTCTAAAGAGTGCCTTTAAATTATCAGGTAATTCTGTTCTTCCAGCATAACCAGGATTCATTGTAATAAACACTGAAAAAGTAGGTAAAATTTTAATGAATGAACCTTCAAATTCTACTTAGGGAGTTCCTTTAGCTTTTTCTCCAAATAACACTAACAATTATTATGCAATAACTGATAACACTTCAATATTGATACGATTGAATTCATCAAAACAAGCCCAAGCACCAGCAGATGCTAATCCCTTAAAGAACTTGCCAACCATAATGAAATCCATTGAGTCTGAGCAATTAAACACCACACATTATTTTGCCAAAGCTTTTGCCAAATCCTTAGTTGATTCTGTTTTACCGGTTCCAGCTGGACCTGCTGGAGCTCCTCCCAAATTTAATCTTAAAGCACCCATTAAGGTCATATAACATTTATCAGTCAAAGGTGTAATAACTAATCTGAGTGTATTTCCTAGATATTCATAACCATAAGGGAAATTGGTTTATACACATTTGACCCAACAATCAAAATCTACTAATTGATTTTCCCAATAATATCTTAATTGCGATATCCATTCAAAGGCAAACTTATCATACACTTCACTATCCACCATCTTCTACACAACATCCTTGGCATGGACATCGATAACAATCAAAGCATTTATTGTAACCATAGCTTACTTTGATAATTTAGTTCTAACCAAATCGACTAATGACCCGAGTTGATCTTCCAATCTCTTGAAATATCCTTTAAGATTCTGTGAATCAATTGCTGTTTCTACTTCTTTTGTCCAATGCACTTATGATCCATTCAATACACATTAACCTGGATGTCTCAAAACCCATTCTTCTCTTTTTACTTGTGTGTAATTTTCAATACTAACCATTAATGCCTGTCTAACTGATAATCTCATCATATTTTCAACTTCATTCATCCATTCTTCAACATTCTTTTTGTTTGGATCCACTATTTTCACAAAAGGTACCTTCTCCTTTTCTGCTGAAAACATAGCATGAATTTTCTTATCCTTATCAAATTCTATTGAATTGATATTCTCAAAGACTTTCTTAAGATGAGGTTAGACTGCTGTTGGTTCTTTTGTTTAGGATAGAATTTCTAATAATTCATCATTTGATAAAAAGTAAAATCTTGCAAACTTCTCTCTTTTCTTTTCCAAATAATTGTTCAATTCTTTTTGAACCATTTCCAATGTCTTATTGGCTTCATGCAATCTTTCCCATAACCCATCTTCAATGCAAACATCCAAGACCTTCTCCTTCGCCTTGGCTTGTGTCACTGTGGTTCTCCAAGTTTAATCAACTGTTTTGAATTTCTTGGTTTCAGCTGGCAATTACTTAGCGATGTCTTGTGAATCAAATATGGGTTACAAATACATCCATTATTACTAAAATTTAGCCCATTCTTCTAAAATGTCTTGAATCTTCCTCAATGACTTATCCCATTCACTGATTCTTTCTTCAAAGAATTTCTTAAACGGAGAGAATACCATAGCTGAAGTATTGATAATGTGTTCATCTAAGACAATTTGAATTTCATCGAACCCTTTGAGAATAAATGTGTTTTTGTATTGAACACATTAAAACTTGATATTCTCCCAAGCATTAAGCATATTGTCGAGCATCATTTCTATTTAGTATTCCTTGTTGGCTGTTTCTCCAATATTGACCACCTTGTCAATCACATCCATGAATCCATCGTCGAGAATTGTTTAAAAACAAAATCCCTATTCATCAGGGTTGATGACATGATCTAAACCCTTTAATTAAGACACTTATGTCCAATGTCTAACAGTCATACCTTTCTTCCTAAGAGCTGACAATAAGGGCACTTTTGGTCTAAATTCATCAATCTCTGCTTTTACAGCTTCAGCAATCTTTTGAATACCGGTCACTTGAATTGTTCTCATAGCAGTCTAGATATTTTTAACACCTTCCTCAACTATCCTTTCACATTCATCAGCATCAACATTCATGAAGTCATCATTCAACCATTATTTAATACCATTCTTAAATTTATAAGTGCTTGACCATAAATCATAATAAGGCTTGAATTCCCTAGACATAGAATTCAATTTGGAATAATCAGTTTGTGGTTTATCAAATAATGCTTCTTGCATATTGAATTTACTAGCTTATTCCTAAAATTCACTGATTTACTTCATCACATACTCAACCACTTCAGCCATATCCTTATTCTTACTCACATCTTGATGTTTATGAAACTCTTGGATGGTTCTCTCCAAGTTTTCAATCTACTCTCTAAAATCTTCTTGTTAAACTTTAGCATCATCTGAGAATTTGACTTTCAATTTCTCCAATTACCCATTTCTCACTTCAACCATCTCCTTTATTTCCTTTGGACTTCCAAATATCTTCCATCTCCTTTGGAAATCATCCAGTGGAAACCTGTAGTTGAATTCCTCCAACATTTTGAACACATCAAACAATTAATTCATTTTCACCTTCATCTTCTCCAACTCCTATGGTAAATTACCAATATATTCCTTTAATATCGTCAACTTTTCTATTGTATCAGGTTCTTCAAGTATTGTCTTCTTGATATCTCCAAATTCCTAAAATATTCTAATACTAGTATTTCTTGCTCTTCTGGCAATAAGATCAATTAGATTTTTTTAAAGTGCTTGGTACCTTTCAATTAGAATTCCTTTTGCTTCATTCAAATGAATCTCAAACATCCCTACATGTATGGAATCTAGTATTTCTTCGTTTAATTATTTTTCCTTCTAAGTAGCTTTAATAATTTCATCACGAATTGATTCAAATTCTCTTGGAGGATCTTCGAGTTCAATGTCTCTAGCCACATCATCAGGTCTCAATTTTAACACTGGAATGTATTTATTGAATACAGTCTTGTATTACTCTAATGGTTTTAAGGCTTCTTCAATTGATGCTTTGATATAATAATAAGTATCCCAAACCCATTTATTTTCATCTGCAAACTTCCTGGGTCTTTCATTTGGATCTGGTTCAACAGGTTCTTAGATTGGCATCATCGGAGCCTTAATGAAAGTTTCTAGTTTTTGAGATTTATGCAAATCAGACAAGATTCTTGGTTCTAAATCTGGAATCTTTGCCATTTCATCAACAGCTTTCTTCATGGCTTGTAATGATATTAAGACATAGAGAGTTGGATTAGTTGTGTATTAGAAGAAATCATCCTTTGCTAATAGTTCTATCTAAAATAAGGGTAGTTTTCTATCATGACTAAAAACCTAAACTCTATTATCTGCCAGAAATCCATCATCATATTTATTCAGTACCCAATCTGTGTTTTTAATATCTACATTTACTGGTATATTGCTTTTGATTGTCTTTTAATATCTATCGAAGTTAGACTTCATAAGTGTTGTGATTGTGTCTTGCATCATCAATCTAATAACTGTTAGCATGCGCTTCAGTTTACCAAAGTCATAGGTGATTTTAGATGTTTCTTTCATATTGAACCATCCCTTTCCGATTTCAGCGAACCTATCTTTGATAATTTTGATCATAGTAGGCACCCAAGTTCCTTTTAATTGATACATCAATGATGTGGTTGCATTCTCTTACATATGCTTGAATTCATCTAAATGTAATGCACCCTCTCTTTTAGAGAAGTCAAACAAACTCTCTTTTAAAACTTAATTGCATTCATGTCTGATATCTTATAAAGCCTTGACAACTTCTTAACTGACATATAGAGTGGAAAATCCAAAATTCTTATTTAATTCATCAAAAGTCAAAGGTTTTCTGATGAATGGTTCATCATATTTGAACATCCATTTTTCCATGACTCCTTTGGATGCTTCAAGTTCCATCCAGCCATAATAACGAACATCTTTCTTTTTCTCTTTTGCAGGCAATCTCAATTTTGGATAGTTCTCATCTTGTTACTCATCATCTAAGTATTTATCGAATATGATTTTATTCATAGTTCTCTGGAAATCCATATTAACTTCAAGAAGTAATTAAGTAGTTTCCATAGCTTCTAGTTTCTTGGTCTTTGCATTCTGTTCAATTCGTTTCTTTTATTCATTGTCCAATTCACTGAGATCAAATAAGGACATGTTATCAATGTAATAGTTGTATCTAACTAGAGCATCAGCAAATATCCTCTATTAAAATGCATTCTTCAATCTTTTGACATACTTACGTGGATCTTCTGCATCAAAACAAATGTATAATCTATGCAATTCTAATTTAACATCATCTTTCAACCATTTGCCTATAAATTTATCATCCTTGTACTCCAATATTTCCATGTATTAATATTCATCTCCTCTCAATCCTAAACCTAAAAGGGGATGTTTGATTCCTTCTTCATCCTCTTCTCTCCTTATCCAATCTTCATTACTGTTGTCATCAAATGTTGTGTCATCAAAATACTCAAGTTTCAACCACTCTACACTTTAATCCCTTTATTTAAAATCAATTCCAGCTTCTTAAAGCAATCTATTAAAATCAAGAGATCGAAACTCCTTTCTTTTTCTATCAATAGCCACTTTCCTTGGGACTTCACCAGGAATAGGATCATATGGTAATATCACCTAAAAATGCCACCAAGTAATTTACTTTCGGTTCTACACTTGTAACTTGTTCGTTTTTTTGTCTTGTCTTCAACTGATTCCTTGGTACTTGTCGAGATGCTATATCAGATCGCAATTGCTGTCTACTGGAGCTTGATGTTTGTAACCGTTGCAAGGAGATCGCTTTAGGAATGGTTTATCGACTTATGGTTGTCATGATTAAGTCAGGTGATGGACCCTGATTGTAATTCTTCACATTGTACTCACTGGGTAAAGTAGGGTCCAACACTTCAGAAAAGACACCTCTTTGCTTTTATGAAATTTAAGCCATTTTTATATAAAATTTATATATATACAAATATCTCTCATTTTACTATTCTGCTTGACACTTCTTCCATCTATACCCCCTTAATTTTATTATTTTGTAAAATTTAAATTAAAAATAAGATGGAGAATCCTGTCGAGAGAGCAGTCAACGAGGCTACTGCAGACACACTCTAAATGCCAGATTAGAAACTAATGAAATAAGTAGCTGACCTTGTCAACCAAAGAGCAGATTAGTAAGATTGTAATTCAAACCATAGATCGAAATTTGCAGTCTAGGCCATTGGCAAGAGACTCATGCAGCTTCGTAATGGCAAGGTTTAAGCCCTTACCATGGAGCTCATCGAATATCTTGCATTCACTTGCGAAACACCCTTCTACACTTAGATAGCTACCAATGACTTTCTGCAAAGACTCAACACCCTCCTCAACCCATAAATGAATGCTCAAGTAATTCGCTCATTTTACACCCAATAGATGCAACAAAGATTACTCTAAGTAATCGCAGTACTCAAGGCACTTATGCAATCACACCAGGATCTATTTCCTGCCTTCTTCCAATTTTTGCAAAAGATTGCTCCTAAACGTAACTGTCTTCTAGCATCTGCATTTTAGATCAACTACCCAACAATTACGAAAGCAAATATGCAGTACTCAGAAAGGCACAACCAGCATACTCTTCAGGAGCAAGAGTCAACAGTTTAGGATCTGTAATAATTTCTATTTGATTCCCAAAGGGCAACTCCAAAAATGATAAACTTAGACGCGATCTAGAAATTGTTAAATCCAACATCACACTGACCAATGTAATCGGAATTCTTAATCCTAGGAAATCATTGACAATGCAAATCCATAAGAGGACGCAAGCAAAAACGAAATCCTTAAAGACATGACTACCACTTTGAGAGGAGTCGAAGAAAAACTCAGAAAGTAAGGGTCTTTCTTCTAAGTAGTTTAATCACTGATATGGGAAACAATGATGAGGGGTTGATGAACTTTTGCTTAGAATTGAATGATGACTTACTCAAAGTATTCTGTTGAATAATTTATTAGACTTTTACGCGATATGAAGTGTTGAAGAAGCATAAGAAACCTGATCCTTTCAAACCTGAACAGCCATAATAACAATAATAACAAGTGCCTCAATCCCAAACTTAATAACAAGGACCATTCCAATAATAACAGAGTCCTTTCAGTATTTCTCCACCCATGTAAGTTCCAGCTCAACAATAATAAATTCAGCCTCCTCCATAACCAAAGCCTCAATAAATCGATTTGTTAAATTTATTTGAATACGATCCAAAAACAGAAGCATAATAAAAAGGGCCATAACCTACATAAAACATGTAAAATTTAATTTTAACAGCAACAAAGGCTTGATTTGATCGAACTCGATCTTCCAAATCCTTTAAATGAAATTCTTAAAAAAGAATCACAAGTTCCACCAGTATCTTAAGTGCCACCAGTATCTTAAGTGCCACCAGTGTCTTAAATTCCACCTATGTAATAATTTGGATAACCGCCAATATAATAATCTTAACTTTATGGGCAACCTCCTATTTCACAAATTTAATAGCAATCTAATTATTCTGCTTTGAACGCATTTCCGTAATAATAATAATATCCTCCTTAATAATAATAATATCCTCCATAATAATTATAATATCCTTTTTAATAATAGCAATATCCTCCTTAACAATAGCAATATCCTCCTTAACAATAGTAATATCCTCCTTAACAATAACAATATCCCCAATAATAAAATGTATTAATTTATTTTATTGAAAGTTACAATAGTTATATTAACAATAATAGTTTGGACAATAACCAATACAGTATTAAGCATTCTAAAAGTAGCCAACTTAAGCTGTTTCATACTAATAAACTCAACCCTATCAACAATAAGGTTTTCCTCAATAATAATATCCAGTGATTAGCAGTAAAACGCGTTGATATAATTATTTTAGATGTTTCTGTACAATAAAAGAAACCAGAAAACGAATTTGACAATATACTTAATTTGGCAGTAGGATAAAAACAATAACCATAGTAGCAATAATAGAAGTTAGACTTTATTTGATATATTTATAGTTTAAAAATATATAATATAAGACTATTATTGCACTCTAAAATAACTAAATATAAATATACAAATAGACTCACTTAAATGATTTAGTTTTAAAGTGTATAATATCTCCATCTTTAACAATATAATCTTTTCCTTCTTTTGAAAACTTCTTTTCATAATTATCCAAGGCATTATCTCCTAGCTTTTTAAACTTATCAAACGACATAACCTCTGCATTAACGAATCCCTTATTATTATTATAAGAAAATACTTTTTCAAAATCTGAATGAATGGCAGCAGCAGCTTGAGGAGCTTTAATGTTTTTCTTGACAGTCCAACTTCTAACTTCATCAGAACCAACAGTGAAGAATCTAATCAAGCCTAATAAGTCGTATCCCGCAATAATAATTTGATCTAATAATTATTATTACTCCTGATTTTCAACAGAGTAATAGACTATTTTGCTATCTGGACTATTTTTGGTTACCCATTATTCAATAGGTTTTGCATACTTATTTTATTTCTTAGCAACATAGGCATCATGATCTTCTTTGGATAAATTAATTAAGTAAATGGATGGCTTTGCAGTTAACAATTGAATTTTCCTTAATTGTATTTATTCTTAATCAGTCCATTTTTGATATCGGACCCATTATTTCTTTTTTAATAGTTCATCGCATTTTTACAAGACTTTATATTATTCTACCATTTCTCTAGCTTCAACTGAAACATTTTTATTAGCTTCATACTTTTTAATTTTTTTGCTGAATTCGTCGACTCGCTTTGATACAAATTGATAATCCTTAGCCATTAATTCTTCTGAAATAATTTATAAATCTCTTATTGGATCCATGGTGCCTTCAGTATGTACAATTTTCTCTTTCTCAAATGCTCTCACAACCTGATACAGCCCATCCACAGCCTGAATGTGAGCCAAAAATTCATTTCCTAATCCATATCCTTCCGATGCTCCCTTCACTAGACTAGTATCGCAATGATTATGATGATTACCCTGCAATATCGATGATGCTTAGAGTAGAGAAGACCTGTGACTTGGGTTTGAAAATCTAACATAGATAATCAAATCTGGGATCAGGGACTTTGACTACTGCCTAATTTGGATCAATGGTACAAAATGGGAAGTTTTCAGCTGGCACAGATTGTTTACTAAGCATGTTGAATGTAGAACTCTTTATAGAAATTAATTGGTTACCTTACCAACGTTGGCCATGCCCACAATTCCCATTTTCAAACTTGAACTTAAACGAGTCAATTAGGCCATTAATAAATTTATGATAGTCAATTCAGGAAATTTGATAGTCAACATAAAAAATGATATCATGAAAAGATATCATAGGATCAGTCTCATTGGGTAAGGGAGTTTCGGAAAGGTATACAAAGTAAAAAATCAAGCAAATGAATTAAGAGCTCTGAAAATAATCGCTAAGAAGGACTTCACAGATCAGAATGAGATCGAGAATATGAAAAAGTTAGATCATCCTAATATTATGGCTGTATATGAGATAGCTCAGGATGAAAATTGTTATTATATTGTAAGTCAGCTATGTGAAGGGATTGAATTATTCGATGAGATCCACAAAAGAATAAAATAACATTAAATCTTTTCTGAAGAAGAAGTGAGATACATCTTCAAGTAGATCTTGAGTGCAATCGCATATGCTCACGAGAAAAATATCATGCATCGTGATATCAAACCCGAAAACATCCTCATTGATCCAACTGATTAACATATAAAAATTATAGATTGGGGATTGAGCAAAGACATGACCAATATTGTATCAATCAAATAGAAAATAGGAACTATTGATTATGCAGCTCCAGAAGTTCTCCAAGAAAAAGAGTATGATCAGAAATGTGATCTCTGGTCGTGTGGTGTTATTTTATACATTCTACTCTCTGGCGAAGTCCCCTTTCCAGGAGACAACACAGGAGAAATAGAGAAGAAGATTGTTTCCTCTAAAATCAATCTGAAGTAGAAAGTTTGGAAAACAATTTCGGATGATGCTCAGAATTTATTAAAGAACTTGTTAGAACCTGATCCTACAAAGAGATTTAGTGCTTAATAAGCATTATAAAGTGAGTGGATCCAAAAGTAGAGTAAGTCAGTTACAAAAGAAGTATCTTCTTAAGAAATGTAATATAGACTTCAAAAATTGTCCAGATTTTGTTGTGAGAGTAAGATGGTCTAAGCCACCTTCCATTTAATGATCTAACAAAATTTGACTCAAGAAAAGTATAAGTAGTTGAGACAAACCTTTTAGGAACTCGATAAGAATGGTGATGGAAAATTGAGTATGGAAGAATTAAAAGCGTACTGTAGTGATGATATCGATGTGGAGGATTTATTCAACAGAGTAGACACCGATAAAAATGGGTATATAGAATTTACAGAATTCTTGACAGCAGCAGTAGACATGAAAAAGTTAGCATCTCATGATCATCTCAAAGAAGCATTCAGTTTGTTGGATCAAAATGGAGATGGGTTTTTGGAAATTGATGAGATTAAAAAAATTTTTAATGGTAAAATCTAGGTTTAAGACGAAAATTAATGGGATCAATTACTCTAAGAAATGGACAAGAATAGTGATGGCAAAATATCATTAGAAGAATATTAAGAAGCCATCTCTAAATTTATTGACAACAATCAACCGTCATCAAATTTAGCTAGTCAAAATCCAAATCCTGAACCAGAACCAAATATCACAAAAAAAGTTAAGTTAACTGAGTCCACTTACTAGTTAAGGAATAGGTAAATTAATTGATTTTATATTATTATATTGATAAATTGGTTTCACTATATGAAAAAGACTTATAACTTAAAAATTGAATTAAATAGCTCAAGTTCTTCGGAGAGAACTTCCCCTTACTTAGACAGTGATGGCTAGTATAATATTCATAAGCTATTCAAGGGAATATTATGATTATTTTGATGTAATTAAAATTGATAATATAACTTATGGTGAAGTCAGTGCTAAAAGATGTGGTAGGATCACTATGGAAGATAGGGTATATCATAATTGGAATATCTCACTAGTTTTAAGCAATTGCGGACTTTGATGGAAAATAATAGTAATTTTATTTTGGGGTCTTTGATGGTCATGGGGGGTCTTATGTAGCCAAGTTACTTCGAGAACAACTGCATTCTCATTTAAAAAATAATAAGTTTTTCAATATTGATATTGAATAAGCTATTTTAGAAAGTATTCATCAATTTATATTTCTCCAAAATTAGGTTTTAATTAAATGAATATTGATATTCTTAAATAATAACATCTGTTGATGAAAGATGGAGGTTCAACTGCTTTGTGTGTTATCAATGTAGGTAAAGAGTTATTTGTAATCAATGTTGGTGACAGTGCCTGCGTATTAATTGATAAAGATTTCTAAATAACTAAATTAAATTAGGAACATAAGCCTGATAGATTGGATGAATCAAAAAGAATTACAGACAACAATGGATTCGTTTTGACCATTAAGTATAAACACAATTAAAAAGAAATTAGGCTAGAATTAATGGTGAATTGGCAGTGAGTAGATCATTTGGTGATCCAAAATACATAGAACATGGATTAACTGCTATTCCTGAAATCACCAAGTTGCAATTGAATGAGAACTCTAAATATTTAATTCTAGCCACTGATGGATTTTGGGATGTGATAACTAATCAAATTCTCCAAAAGTTGCTGATAAATTGGGACAACTTTAAAGAAAAAGAAGGTTTATCCCAATATTTACTGGAATCAGCCTTAAAATAACAGACTAATTATAAAAAAGACAATATGACAATCATCATCATTGATTTAATTATTTATTTCAATAAATTATAATGATTTACATTATATGATAATAATTTTGATCTATTCAGTAGTATTAATTTTGAATAGAATAATCTTCATATGTTTATCTGTATTATATGTGACATATATCAATGATTGAACAAATCAAAGATGGAATAAGCATTTTTATCACACTCTTAGGTAATAAAAATTATTTTTAATCTTGAATATAAGAAAATGTCATTAAATCCCTATATTCAAATTTATGAAAATAGGAAAACTTATATCTATATTGAGTTAATGCATTCAAATAAGGAATTGTATTTTGGATTTCTATTTGGATAAAATTTTTATAATATTAATTATCTTGTAAATGACTTAGGAAACTTTGAGATAGTTGGCTAGATAACTTAATAAAAACAAGTTTCTTGTAATAGTTTTTTCATTGAAATTAGATTGCAAAACCTGCCACAGACGTATTTTAATGTGTTTAGGCTTTTATTTTATTGGTTAAAGGAGTAAAAATATAGGATTGGCTTTTGGCATAATTATTGATGAGCTGTAGCTTACCCTAAATGGTGGAGACTATTATTGAAAAGAAAATTGATTATGCAAATATTATTTTGTGCAAAAAGCTTTATCAATTAATACCACAATAGCAAAATTCTTTAGGGAAACTTATATACTAATTAATAAGTTAAAGTTTAAATTTTTTGGAAGGTGAAAGAGGCAAGTCTTAGAGAAGCAAAAGCACTATTCTAAGGCACGAACCAAGCATTTATGGTAACAGCATGAATAAAATCATTTAATGTTAAAATAAGAATGCTACTAATTTAAGATGTAAGGAGGATTTACAAAAAATATTTTAACATAGAAAAATCATAAAGAATTAAAAAATTAAGGAGGAAGATGAGAAGAAATTTGAATAATTAAAAGAAAAAATGAAAAAAATTAATAAAAATAGTTATTTTATATCTCCTAGAAAAATATAATTTGAATAATAGGAAAAGATAATTCTCAGCAATAATAATTCAGAAAGACAATTTATCCATAACAAGCAAATGAGATCCCTAAGATCTTTCAGATCTTCATTTTACGATTGAATAAAGCAACCTAAACTAATGATTTTGTTTTACTTTATATTATATATTAATATAAAATAATATCATTCTTCTTAATGCTTTTTTAAAAGGTCTGTATTAGTAGGATCATTTTAGAGTGGTTGGATCTATTCTAAGTCTTTAGAATTGATTTCCTTCTCCTCTAAGTGGACTTAGTCATCTTGCATAGTTAATATTTCAAAATCTTCATCTTTTAAATTCAGTTCAAACGGTTTCTAACTATCTTCTTTGGCATGATTGTTATTGTCCTCCTACTTTATTATATTCATTCCAACGGTACTTGCTTTTCTTGATACCACATCTTTTTTTAATTAATAATCTTAACTTTCAACATTGGGCAACTATTATAAGAAGTAGATCTTACTATTTGATTAGACTTATAGTTTTAATCCTGTATAATAATGCTATTTTCTAGTTTGGATTAATTCTCCTCTTTGTTTACTATTGAATCCATGGTTAGAGTTGGAAATGGAATACCAACTGAGTGAAATTTAGAAATAAACTTATTTGAATACTAGGTTTAGAGTATAAATTGAATCCTGGAGAGTTCATAAATTTAATTCGAAATAGTGAGTTTCATCTCTCCGATTCTCTTAAGTTTTTCATAATATGGAAAGAATAAGTTTAAGTTAAGTAGTTTTCCATTATTTTCAACTCTAATGATTTTGCCAAATATATTTTTTATTATTTTAACATTCTTGAATTCAGGATAATACATTGCTATTACATGATTAACTGCCTCAAATTACATATAGCTTTGATTCATTAGAACTACTATGTAAGATAATAATAAGAGAGTAGAAGCTATAGATCCAGAATCTGCCAATATCTCACTTATTTTTGGATAGGTTATTTGAGAAATAGTTTAAATTTAATCAACTTTATAATAGAAGACAGCATAAGTTTCGTAACCCAATTTTTTTCCAAAATACTCTTTATTCATAGAGTTGCCTGTCACTTAATAATCAGTGATGTATTCGTAATCATCGAAACTTTCAAACAAAAACCCTTAATCTACCTATGTATCTGAGATCTTCGTATTTACCTAAGCATAGAATGTACTGTCTTTTGTTAAGGGAATGACCAGCTCTTTGTCAATATTATCCAAAGTAACAGCATTAGTATTAAATTCTTTTTTATATTATTTGATAATTAATGTGTTAGTTTATTGATCAAAGAAATTTTGAATAGTTTCATTATCAGCACATTTCTATCCTTCTTATAAATAGACACCCAAACACTAACCAAAAACAACCATCATTTCTATTTAAGGGTTTTCAGCTGTGAGTTCACTACTTGTTTGTATGGTAAGGTTTTGAAGTTCAACGATGTTGAAATTAAACATGTTGGTTTTTTTCTTATATTGTTAGGGATATCCTTTATCGGGTGATTGGCCATTAACGAAATAATAAATAACAGGTTAAAGAATGACAGCTTCTGGATTAAATGGATCGATTGATGTGTATGAATATTTCCTCATTTCTATTTGCATAAAACTCTCATTAAGTTCCAATTTGTAATCCTGCACAAAATTAGATAAGGTAGTAACTTTAGGCAAAATTTATCCTTATTGCCACTGAACCAACATATACATCAGATATGAAAAACTCAATCCATAAAGCAAAACTGACATCACTCCCCCTTAAACAGTTTTGTATTCTGATGTTGAATATTAAATATTGGGTTAGAAGGAAACTCCGAATTAGTCTAAGCTTTTGATAAACTTTATCATGTTCATTTAATACAAAATTCAAGTTTGTTTAAATATTATTATTAAATTAAACCTTGAATGTTGGAAATTCGTTTTTAATATATAATAAATTAATGAAGGTCATCCTCATAGCATTATTGTTAACTTTCAGCATGGCAGCTCATTTTGATAAAAAAACAATTCATAAGCATATTGAAGACTTGCACAAATCTAAATGGGGATAAACTTTGTTGTCTATGATGGCATTACATTCATAATCACAAGGACCTGTTGATGAATTAGTCTAGGCTATAGAAGACTTGGTTGCTGACTTACAAGAAGAATTAGATGTTTTGGAATTTAATTTCGGACAAAGAACAAATGAACATCACAAAATCGTGACAACTTTGGAATAAGAAATCAATTAGGCTTTCGTTGATTATCAAAGAACTTAAGACACACTTGAAAACTTACTTTACCCAAGAAGAGAAAATTTAAAAAATAAAATTGAACAAATTCAAGAGTATTAGGAGGCTAATAGGTATAAATATTAAATTACAACCATCTAGAAAGATATTGGCTGAAGCTTAATTAAAGAGAGAAAATGAGAAAGAAGAATTTGAAGCCTAACTTGCAGATTTTAATTCAGCTGTTGAATCAACAGATCAAGCTTTAGAATTACTTTACAGCTTAAGAAACTAATCTCTTGGATAAGTTTCAACATCAAACATAAGAAAAATTCATGTTCAATTAAACATGATTGAATAAAGAATCAGAGCTCATAGCAAACATGGACCCTTAATAAAGGCTTTAATTTAATTGGCAAATGAATAAAATTTCTCAAATTAAGATATCGTTGGAACCATCTTAGACAAATTGAATGAATTTAGAAATGCTGTCGTAGATGCAATCAATGATGCCACAGCACAAGAAGCTAAAGATCAATAAGAATTTGAGGAAAGAGTAGAACAATTAGATCATGAATTTTCAGAATTTGGTAAATAAATCAGTAAAATCACAGTCGACTTAGAAGCTACCATAAGTATGTCTTAAATCTAATTATTAGCTAAAATCAATGAATTAACTGAATACTCTGCCTAAAGAGATGCAGATAGATAAAGATTCTAATCTCAATTAAACATTGAAAATGATAGTTATGCTGAGGAAACTAAAATATATTAAGATATGAAAAATGAGTACATCAGAGAATAAGAAGTTGCTGAATCTGCTGAAAAGGTTGTTAGAAGCGCTGATTTTTCAAATATTAAGATATGATAATTATTTTATTACAAACTCATCAATCAAAGAATAACATCAATAAATATAATGTAATTCCTTATATCATTTATTTATTATTTTATCGAATATGAATTTTAACTTCAAACTATTCTATAATCATATTAATTTCAAGATGAAAGATCAAAATCTTTGCTTTTTGAAATGGACTTACCATTTTCAAATTCTGCAATGGCAACTCTTCCATCTAAAATTATCATCCCTGTTCCATGTTTTTTATCTTTAATATAAGATCCAATGTAGATCTGTCCATTAGGCCATTCAAATTCCCCATATCCATCCATTTCATTATTCTTCCAATAGCCTAAGTATCTTCTTCCATCCTGATAGATCATCCTCCCGAATCCACACATTGTATTATCCACAAATTCTCCAACATAATAAGTTCCATCATTCCATTAATATCTTCCAAAGCCCTCCCTTCTATTGTTGATAAGATTTCCATGATAATTCTTTTAGCTTCGAACTTAGGGAAACTCAATTGACAACTCTTTTATCTAAATTATAGGCTTTAATAATTCGTTATAATATGTTCCGCTCAAAATTTTATTAAAAAACCATCTTCCTTCAAATACGTCACCTCTATTCATAATTAATCTTCCAGAACCGTGGATCTAGCCAAAGGTAAAATGACCTTCAAATAAAATCGATGTCTTTTTTGAAACCAGTTTACCAAAACCATGAGCTTTCTCATTATGAAATTGGCCATAATAAATTAAGTCGCTGTTTTATTCAAAAGGCTCTTTTACATTGAAGAACCTTTTATACATGATTTTCTCAACTGATTTCTACTGAAAATAGGCGAAGCTTTTAGACTTTTAACTTGATTTTATTCGTTCAAAGGTTGAACCTTAAACAAATACAGAGTTCAAAGAATTCTTATTTTCAGCTTGAGTTTCGAGAGTACTATCTGTAGATTGAATTTCTTTTAATGCATTTTTGAATTCTTTTTCAAATTGGGTGAGATTCTTAAAAGGCAATTCTAACATTTACAAATAATAATTATTGTCAAATTATAACTCATTCAATTTATTTACCATCCTGCCATTTAGAAATTTTTGGTTTACTATTTAGTTACTTAAGAACCGCATCACCATGATTCAATCCATCAAGAAAATCACCAAAATAAACAACTCCACTTTTATACTTAAATACTCCAAAACCATTCTTTTTACTTTTTTTATAATACCCTTTATATTCTTCAGAATTTGGCCATATATAATGTCCAAATCCTTCCATCTCTCCATTGACCCATTCTCCTTTGAATTTACTACTATCTGCAAATTCCATCACACCATATCCATTAAATTAATCATTTTGAAATTACCCTTCATATTTAGTGCCATCCTTCCAAGTATAGACTCCTTTGCCATGTCTTTTCCCATCAAGTACCTACCCTTAGTATATAGCACCGTTAGAGAATTCCAATTTTTTTTTTTCAAGTTTTGTGTTTAATTTACATTCATCCTCAAATTCTTTAAACATACCATTATCCCCTAAAATTTTGTCAGCAAAAAACTCTCCTTACTAAATTTAACTCGAAATATACATAATAATCTCCGTTTTCATAAATAATCAAACCTTTTCCATGCTTAAGGCTACATGAAAATTATCCCTCATAATAATATTGTTTTTTCAAGTAATATTTGCAATAACCGAATTTGTGTTGCTTAATCAATTTACCTTAGAACCATTCCTTTTCATTTTCGTATTTCTCTACCTTCTCATTAACACTTTTTTAGACTAAAAGTTCATCCCTCACCTTCGAAATTTGAATGGGCAAATAGAACTACAAATCTAAGCATAGGAAATTACATTTCTAATGATTACGGTCCTATTTCCTGGTGTTGTGCTTCTTTAGTTTTACAGCTGAACTGCAGATTTATTAGTTGCGACGTAAGTTTAAGCATGTACATTTCTATGTAACTACAACCCTGATTCACTTGGCATCGTTTTTGTATTACTGGTTTTGCTGTTTTGCTCTACTTCTTTTGATTTCATTTCAATGTTTTTATATAATTTATTTAATATCTTCAAGCTACTATATTTCACAATTAATACTGGGATTTGAAAATATTAAACTTAATATTGAAGTTAAAATATATATCATTGAAGTAAGTCTTTTGTTCATTAACTTCTTTTTTGGGTTTCAAAAATTCTTTATGCAAATCACTTTTAAAAACGAATTCAGATGAGAATATTAGAGATTATTAATCTTTTACTTAGCATAAGTTACTGTTCTAATTACATGGTATTATTGAATAATATTCATAATTTACACCCCATAAGACTATCGTGAGGTTGAGATAAATAATTTTTTATTGCCAAGTGATTACCTAAGATTATAATTACAGATACGCTTAGTTATTGGATTCTATTAATACCATTAAATTTTACCTTAGAATTCCTAATTTTTTTGTATTTCCTTGTTCTAGATAATTAATTATTTCTGATCAGGTCAGTTATCTAGATATGATTAGAACATCTTTTGGAGATTTAGGTTACATCATCATTAGAGATATAAATTTGAAAATTAACTCAAAAATTAATACATATACTTATGCATAATCATTAGAGTTATGTTTATTTAGTTTATTGAAGTCCATGATTATTAAATTTATAATATATTAATGGATTATTAGTTGTTACTGATATCAAATGTGTATTAATTATTATTTATACATTAATTAAAAAATTACATCTGGTTAAGTAATAAATTTTGGAAGATATTTAATTAGCACATTTTGACACAAATATTATGAAAAAAAGAAAAAAATAAATTTAATAAAATATATATAGAAATATCTAATGACCTCATAAGGATGTAGTTTTATCACCATATTTAGAAAATACTAAATTATATACATTCTAATCGAACAATACTTAAAGCTCCCTAAACAAACCAAGAATGGTCAAATATTAAGTTTTAAGAAAATAAACAGGTTTGGGATCGAGGATCATTAGATAACCTGACTCTAGTGTAGAGGAGTAAATAATTGAAACTTGCAAGTCACTTATGCCAACAAGACCAGATAAACAATAATCAAAATAAAAAAATGGAACTTAATCTGTCTAAGAAAAACCATAAACAAGAGAGAATCTTGCATCTCGACTTAGAACTCCGAAATCAGAGAGTTTATTTAGAATTAAGAGTCAAGAAAATTAAATTGAAGACTTTTAGCCAATCAATTAATAATTCAACTATGTGGATGAAATTCCCTTGGATCACCCAATTTGGAAATTAATTTTGCCAGATGTTTAAAGTGTTAACATTCCTAAGCTTATCAATGACAATCCAGATTATTTCCATCATTAATTAGGTAAATCTAATGGAATAAATTTAATTTCTAGGTTTTTGCGCTTGCTATAAATGCGAATGTGGTTAATGCAAATGTAATTTCTCTAAAAATTGTAAATTGAATTATTAATCTTCTCAAAATACTGTTTATGGCAAAGATTTCTTACATAAGCAAACTGGATATAATTCTCTTCGACCATTGAATTAAACTTATTATTCCACTCAATTTTGTAATCAAAAACCAATCGATCAGCAAAGTTCACATTAAGTAAGTTCAAAATTTAGATTTAGACATCATACAAGCAATTCAAGATTCCTGTATAAGAAATGCTTAGGCCATAATCACAAGAGCATCGAGGAGATTTCTTAGGCAATAGTAGCTACAAAGTACCTTATTCATTGAAATTTCTAGACTTAATTCAAATTCTGGGGACCACCAGAAACTGCTCATTTTAAGAGGCCAGTTCATTAAAGTGTGAGTGATTAAATACCTTTCACAGCTCAATCATTATATAAAGATTCATTTGCAAACAAACCTTATCAGAAGCCTAGCGATTCTTTAAAGATGGTTACAGAATTGTAAATTTTTATATGCTTAATTGAAGGACTCCTTTGCCTACTGGATAACCATTTGTCTCATAATCGTAGACGCAATTAGCATATTAACCATTTAGAATATAAAAAAACCCTAAATTAAATAGTGACAAAATCATAGATTATGGAAGAAGCCCTAAATATGATACTCAATATAAAAGTCTAGTTCATACAGAATACACACCAAAAAAATAAAAATATTGTCCTGCAAAGGAATACATAGCTCATTATTAATAAAGAACATAATAAAAATTAAAATAATAATAGTGAAATACAATTTATCAATCTTGATGGATTCTTATATGGTATTTGTAAATTATTCGGTTATAATTTTCGTATTTCTTCATAAAATAATTTATTTATTTACAAAAAATGTCAAAATTTTAAGATTAATTGTTAAATTCCTGAAGATTTGAACCATCTTCGATTCAGTAATAATATATTATTAAACTTTTTCCTTAAGATACGAAATAATTTAACTGATAAATGCATTTTTCAAGATCTTATGTATAATTTAATCTTTTATTAATTTTATTTCAGAATCTGATTATAAATTAAAGTATTTACTTATTAAATGAAGCTAATAAAGTTTGACAAATTTGATAAGCCTTGCCTTTAATCTTAGCATGAAATCAAAATAACAACCAATCTTATTAGAACTCCAAAATAAAGTCAATCTTAAACATTTATTACATTCAAATCATCACCTGTTAATTCAAAAAAAACTAGTGTTCATCGGCAATCAACTCATTTGATACAACACAAAAGTTAATTCTCACAATCATATAAATCATAAAATCCAATGCTGTCCTAATAAAATGCAATTTTAACAGTTTAAGAATGTATTTCCATTCTTTGTGATTTTAAATCAACCTCGCCTTTGCTATTATATAATAAAAAATTAACTTAAAAAACAAAGGAGAAAATGGATTAAATTTCTAATATTGTTGATCAAATGTTACCATAAGACAGTAGGGAAGAAATGAGAAGATCAAAAACTCTAAATCAGGAGAAAATTTAATAAATGATGAAGCTCCTCATGTAAGAAAAACAATAAAAATATTAAGCAATAAAATCTGGTGAGAGCTTGATCAAATAGTAATAAGAATAAATTTAATCTTTAGTAAATATATATTTAATTATATTTTCTAGAAAACCAGAATATCTTTATATAGACCAAGTCATGATGATATATGAATGTAAATTATTCAAATTATTGTTTCTCTTCTACTATCATAATATAATGTCTTATTTAGCATCTTACTTAATTTAGTTTTTTTCTGTTTTTAAATACCCACTTTGAATGGTGAATCTACTGATGTCGAAATTCTAGGAGTGTTTATTTTAACTGAATTGTTTTATACTGACTGTACTTATTGATCATAAATAGATTTTCCATATTCCAAAATTCTTCGATCTAATAGGAGGATTAGATTTGTTAGCTCCTTTTCTCTGTTGTCGGATGGAATTTAAGAAGTTTCACAGAATTCTTAAATCACATCAATAATCCTTTTTAATTGATCGAAAGCTGTTTTGGATGTTTTTTCAAGAAATGTGACTTTTGATAATAAAATAGCCACCTTATTTGGTAAATCAGATTAAATTTAATTTTTCTCCCTTTTTTATTTGATTAAATATTTACTATTGCTAAAGGAGTGCAATATTTTTAAGCATTGATTTGATAAGTTATTTCTTTTAAACTAATTCAGCAGATATTAAATCAAATTATTCATTTACACTATTTTCGAATTAAGTTTAGACAATTTCAATTTTTTAAACTTGCTCTTTCACTACTTATAATTGATCCTGAAAGCTTTATTGCCTATTTTTAAAGTAAAATAGTTCCTCCTCAACCTTCTTGAATGCTGTATGTATCTCAAATTTAACCACTTTAGAATTATTGACTTCCAATTCTTAAAATAATTAAGCCAATGATTTTACTTTGCTTTGAACGACTTCATTATCTAAAATAATTGCTAAGCATTTACCTTATTTCTATTCTTAAATTATATTCTTCATTTTATCAACTTCTTTCTCAAATTCATAAATTTTATACTACTCCTTTTCAACATTTTCAATTTTTGATGTCAACTATTCATTTTATTATTTAATCATTTATCTGTTATCTCGATTAAGTTTGTGTAAGGTTTAAGAATCTTATTTAATTAAAGTATTAGCTTATTGCAATTACTAAATGGCCTATTTCATGTCGATCTGAATATCAAATCAAATAAATACAATATGTTATTCAGTGTAAAGTTTGAGAGCATATTTCGTTTGGAATTGTTGAATTTAATCTTATAATTTATTAATCCTCTCATCAGAATTAGATTTGAATTAACGAATATCGCTTTTGGTTAAATAGATATCAGATACAAAGGATTTAAAATCATTGAACTTTTCACTTTGAGTGTAGATGAGTTAGTCCAATTGTTTTTTGATTTCTTTTGTTTCACATTGTACATTACTTTCGATTAATTCTAATGATAAACATTTTTTTAAGACCTATCAGATAATTCTCTTGCTACTGTTTTTCCTTAGCAATTTTGAGCTCAACCTCTTCTAAATCCTTGTAATTTGGAAAGAATTTATTATTACTATTGACACTGATATAGATGCAACTGCTGATATACTCTTACTCTAAGCATTTTTCTAAAATCTCTCGTTGCTGATTACAATTGTAATTATGAATCTTGAAAATTTGTTAGAAAGCATCGAAAATCTCATTAAATTTCAACAGTGTTGTAATAATTATTTCTTACATATTTATATTAATAATAAATCATCATAAGAAATAGTCTGCGATAGTTTTTTTTGAATTCGATGCTCTATCAGTTGGAGCAGCCTCAAACAACTTATAATATTTCTTAAGGTTCTCATCCAACTCAAGAATAGAAGCAACATTGCCACATCTAAAAATTAAAATGAATTAGAACCTATAGCAGTAATTTGGAGCTGACCAAACAGTGACTAAAGAATTATCAAACATCAGTTTGAATCCTTCCATTGCTAGTTGATGTGCTCTACAAATCAAAGAAATGCCATTTCTACGATTAAATTCCTTGACAACATCTGCTCCAAAAACAAAACCTGCCCCTCTAGCACTCTGACTCCATCCTTCAATTTCTACAACATTTAATATAACAAAAACCATCAGGATCAGACCACATCAAGTCACACATAACACCTTCATGAGGCACTTCCTATTTTCTATTAATGATTCGAATTTCATCAATTGTTTTGATGTAGGGACTCAATCCACCATGTACGCAGAAAATGTTGTCATTGACTACTGCTGCCAATGCCAAATAATCAAAAACTTCAGTGCAATACTTCCAAACATTCAAAGTACTGTATTTTCTCAAACATTCATCATAGAATCCATATACTTAAGTAATTTGTCTAGATTCATGATTTCCTCGAATTCTCTTATAATATTTATATTTACAATGTAATCTAATCTGGATATCTCACTTTCAAAGCCAATAGTAATAAAAAAGTCTCCACGCTATTATATCCTCTATCCACAAAATCTCCCAAGAATAAGTAGTTAGTTTCTGGAACATCTCCTCCTACCTTAAATAATTCCATTAAATCTTAAAATTATCCATGAATGTCTCCACAAATCTATATAGTAATTTATTTTACAGTCACAGGAGCTTCAACTCTTATTACATTATCCTCATTGTTTAGTATATCCTTTGCCTTGTTACATAATATTTTGACGTCCGTTTCCTTCAGGATCTCTCCATTTTTTAGTGTTTCTATCCATTAATCAATATCTGACATTTAATTAGAAGAAATATTTTATTTTTTTTGATTAATTATATTGTAAAGAATTTAAATAATAATTATTTTATATATAATTTTTTTGATAATCAAATTGGGCAATTGAGAGCCCTGGAGTTGATATTGGTGATTTTTGGTTGCTATTTTAACTCTTATTTTAAGTACTTGATCTATTTTTGCTTTATTAACCTTTCTAGTATTTCAACTTTTAATTGTAGAGAGATAAGAATTACTTAGAAAATGAGTTATAATTTCAAAAGTGACTTATTTCGTCTAGATTTATCATTGAGAGAGAATTTTAGAGTGAGTTGAGAATAATACTAACTAAGAGATTAATATCACTTTTTCTAAAGGTATTATAATAATAAAAAATAAATATTGATCTTTAGAAAATAGTGTTATTATTAATTATCTTTTATTGTTCTTCCATTTTCTACTATTCTGATAAGAAATTAATACTTTAATGAAAAATTTAGAATGCTATTAAATTTGTTGTTTTTAGATGAATTTAAGTTTTTAATTACTTTCCTATAATTCAAATCTTTTTATAATTACTTGATGTTATTATTTTGATTAAGAGAATTTGTAATAAATTACCTTATTATTTTATTTTCACCTCAATTCTTAGTTTGAATCTAATTATAGATCAAGATTATCCTTAGAATTGATATTAAAAAGAGTTACATTAATCATGAGTTATTCTGACAGAACTTCTAATTCAACTCTCTAGGTTCCATATTAATCGATGATATCTTATCGTCTCAAAAAAATGTTAAGCTTATAATTTCAACTATTCTACTTAAATAATCAATTATATTTAAATAAGGATTCTAAGTATTGATGTCAATTAATGTAATCAAAATTATTTAAAAAAAATATTATTTTTTAAATTTATATATCATCCTTTTAGGTTATGATATTCTCTACTCACTACTTCAGCCCATGTTTTTTAAAGATCAGCTACTTAAAACTTTTACTTTAACTCAGATTTAATTAGGCTACAATTCATTTCATTTACAATCAGTTATAATGATAAAGCATTTGCCTCTTCAGTACAGCAATGAAGGAATATTCTATTTTTTTAATGATCTGGAAGTTCTGTAAATAATTTGACTTATTCCTTTGGGTAAGCTGCTCCCCCATCAGTGTAAAATAAAACTTCAGTTCTAAATATATTTAAAATATTAACTTTTCAAATGCGTCATTTTAGTGCTGAACAATTAAATTGTATGTTTATTAAAATGCTGAACCAAAATCAGTGCCTCCACTATTAAATTGTATTTTTTTCTCCATTTCAACCAAATTGACAATTTCACAATTAATAGCAATTCTGGCAGTTGAATTAAAAATAACAACACTCACTCTAGCATTTAAATTTTTCTATATTATTGAGATGCAATTTAAACAACCATTTTTTGCAGTGTTCCAAGGACTTCCACTCATTGACCCTGAATTTTTCCAAAAAAAACTTCCTCTCATTGACCCTGAATCATCAATCATAAAAATATAATGAATTTTAGGTTATCTAATTACTTCTTCGAAGTTATTCTTAAGCACAAAATTTATAGCTGACCTATTTAACATTTTTTTGAAATACTCACATACCATTTGTCCAGTTCCTTAATTCCATACTTTCATCATTTTTTCTTTAATTTTTTATTACTCTATTTCATCCAAACCTTTAAAAATCCAGTCATCATATGTTTTTCTTATATCTTTCCACTTTTTGGTTTCTTATGTTTCTAATGTAATGATTAGACATTCATCATTCATCTCATCGCAAGTGAACAAAGAAGGGGTATCCTCAATTAAGACTCCATTCATCCCTTTAAATTACAAAATAAAAAATACCTCTTAATTAATGACCATTCGAACATTTATGTTTATGGTCATTTGAATAAGATTAATCACATTTGCGTTTGCACATTGGACAAGTGTGACGACAGCCAATCATATTTAATTTTATAGTTTATAGCTCTTAATAACCATTAAATTTTTCTAAAGATAATGTTTCTTTCTTCACTTTTTAGATATGGATACCTAACTAATTTGACAATTCTAAAGCAAAAGGTTGTAAGAGTTAAATTTATTATTCTGATTCTTAAAACTATGATTTATCAAAGATATTGACTTCTAACTTTTAATAAATATTAATTTTAAAGATTTCCTCATGCTCCTTCGAAATCTGAAATTTATTCATTTATTATGATACACCAAGGAGACATTAGATTATCAATTCAAAAAGTTTACTTTCATAAAATTCGTCATTTTTGTTATCATTGTCATTTAGGAAAAAATACTCTTTCGATTTTATAGGAGGGTTTTATAAATCAGTATATTGTCTCAAAATTTGCACATTAGAATTAACTTTCTCCAAAATTGCTAATAAAGATTTTCTTAATTTATTTTCATATTAATCTTTGATTTCAGCTTCTATTTTGTCAATCTCATTTTTAACATAATTTTCAATAAATTTAGTTTAATCTGTTATATATTCGACTATTTATTCATCAGTATATTTTTTTAAATTAATGTCTTCTTAATAATCCTCTAAAATAGATTTATCTAACAGTTTTATTAGTTCTGTATTTGTCATTTTATTTTTGTTTTTGATATCTGCGCAAAAAGCGGCTTAATTCTCTCTATAAAACTGTTAAATACAGCTTCTATATAAATTACAAATAAAAGCCTCAGCCTTTAATTTACTTTATTCAGTCTTATTTTATTTTATGTCAGCAATGAATTTCAATAATTAATTTTATTTAAGACTCTCAAATTTTTTTGTACTCTCCTACACTCCTTTTCCTTTCTTAAAGCATGTAAATCGCCAAATTATTAACATGGAATAATAATATATACATCTCTCCCCCATCGCATTTAAAATTATGCCAAAATTAGCAAAAGATTTATTATAATTGATGATTTCCTACTCAATTTTAGACATAATTATTTTGATCAAACTTGTGTTTTGTTGTGAAATCTCTTCACTATCAGAATTGTCTTGTTTGTCATTTTCTTGATGAGATTTTGTCATTTCTGATTTAATTACATCATAAATTGAGAAATACATCATTTACCAACTATTTATTTTCTCAAATTTTGAAAATCCATTTTTGTAACAATTATCTTTCTACAATTATATTTAATCTTCTTCAAACATTGCTGTTGAAAAAGATTTTATAAAATTAACTCTAAAGCTATCTTGAAAGTTATTTTCCTTCATCTATATATATTTTAAGCTGGAGTCTAATTATTAATATCTTTTCGAAAAAGGAGTTATTGTTTATTCTTTGAATATTATTATATGTTCAAAATTTTGGATAAAATCTTAAACTTCTTATTCTGTAGAAAAAGATTCTTATTTACTATTAATTTTCAAGCCTTTATTGAATTCTATTATCTTTTTTAAATATGTATCTTTTGTTTAATCCAATAAGGTGTATTTTTATTTTTAGACTTATATGAAAGACTTTTAAAATTTTTTAAAAGCGGTTATTATTATTCATTATAATTGGCCCAACTGGTCAACATTTTCCACTATGAGGGATCTTGAATTGTTTCTACTAACTTTTTCCTCAGTTCTTGATTGTACTCAATATTAAAAATATCTAATAAAAGCAACAAAATTTCAACCTGAGAATTGACTTTCTAATATAAACCTTAATATGCGTTATTCTAATATTAACCTTAATATGAGGTATTCTAATATTAATCTTAATATGCGTTATTCTAATTTTAACCTTAATTTGAAGTATTCTTTTATTAAACTAAGTATGGGTTATTCTAATATTAACCTTAATATGAGGTATTCTAATATTAATATTGATGTTAATCGAAATTTTGCTATTTGTGTTTACCTTTTTAAAAATTTTGATTTTATTCCAATATTGATATTAAATCTACTAGTAATCCTTGTTCTACTTATTATGTCTTTTAATCTTTTTTATCTTTTTTTTTCTTTTAGATGTAATTATCTAAGGTTGTTTACTCCACATAATATATTGTCATTTGAAATATGTAATAATTGTTAATATCCATCACATCATATTTAGTCTTAGGTTTTTTCATTCTAGCTTCAAAATTTTAATTAAAAATCTCTGCATATCTCAATGTTTCTTTTGTATTAATAACTGGTCGAAATTAAGTTTAATTGTCTAATTCTTTCTCAAAAATAGCATAAATTTCATTTCTTTCATCCAAATCTTATCTAAAAGGAGAATTATTATTAATGTTCTCAAGAAACAAGGAAATATATTTTTGCTCGTTGTCTGTAGTTAATCTATACTCATTGAATGAAGAGGAGATACATTAATATTATTTGGTAGAATACTCTCTTAATATTTCATTTTGTTGTTGTTGCGATTCACTTGTTATTTCTCCCCATAATTTATCAAATGCTTTTATAATTTAATCATCATTTTCTTTTAGTTTAGTAAGTTATTCTGGATCCTTACTAACTTAAAGAATAAAGTCATCAAGCGACTTGAATCCTTTTATGTTTTAATACTCCCTTTCAATATTTTTTATCTCTTCAAATACTATAATTTCTGAATCTTTTAAGGAGCTATTAATACGCTGGCTCAATTGCTTTACGTATTTAAGATAAATTTTTTTTTAAATTTGTTTATCCTATTTAAATAATGTTATTTATTCTTTTATATCTTATTCGATCTGGCTAAACCTTATCCTAAGATCTTCATTTTTCTCAACTTAAATTTAATTAAACAAAGCCAAATTTTTCACATTACTACTTCTCACTCTATCATTAATTTCACCTCCAATTTCATTTTTAAAACTAAAATTTTCTTAATCGTAAATTTGTTCAAATCTACTTTTCATCAATTAATCTTGCTTGTATTATATTAATTCAGCGAATTCCAATAAATCAGGTAAATTGCAAATAGTTTACCAATTAGTATTTATATTTTATATGAATAAGCTTAAACTTTACATTTGAGATGCGTCTGTTTGAGACTCAAACTTTTTAATAAAATTTTTAATCATTCTTATCCCATAAAGATAAGCTTCCTCTGAAAAGGTTTCATTAATTATTAATTATCTCCAATTTTTCGTTATACCTAAACTTTCATTTTTTCTCCATAATTTCTCAATGCATGCAAATCCCAATATTTAAATATTGTCCTTTGAAATGTTCAAAAACTCATTATAATCGATTGTTTAATTTTTTACATCTTACTCATTATTGTACTCTAAATTTAAATTATTGGCAATTCCCTGTATTTAGTTTAAAAATGGAGCAAAGTTGTTGGCATCGTTATTTTAATTAAAACACCAACTTAATTGTTTGATAGAAGAGAGATTAGATTTCATAGACACCAAAGTAAAAATACACATTTCAACTAAATTTTTAAATTGTTGATGTATATCTCCTTTGACATTTATCAAAATTATATCACTTATAGCTAAAACAAAAAGAGCAATTTTTTTATCAAATTCTGGATCTACTTAATTTGGATTCTATAATCCCTCTGAATCAAGTATAAGTATATAATCAAATAAATTATTAAAGTGTTCCTTAAATTGAATTTTTAGCAAATTCAAATAAATGCCCTTTGTACATCTGCCAACGCTTGTCCAAAAATGGCATCCAAATATTTTATTTAAAATAGTAGATTTACCTGAACTTTAAGGTCCTAAAACACTTAATACCAAAACCTTCTCTTTTCCTAAATTTGTGAATTTATTTTTCAGTTAATCCAAAAATTTTTCATTTATTTTGAGAGAGTCACCATCTAGAAATTCAAAAGGTTCCCCTTTTTTAATCATTTCATATACTTTTTCTGCTGGATCAATGTATGTGTTAGCCAAACTTCTTTGATTTATTGCAATCAGCTCCCTCCAAAACATTTCTATCCCAATATTTCTGTATCCGATATCTTCTAAATTTTGTTTTAGTTCTTGTTTGAGTTACTCCTATTATTATTTATATTCTTTATTTTTGCCTTCAAAATTTATAATAGATTGAGCTTCTTAGTTAGTTTCAGTCTTTTTAAGCTTAATTTGATCTCTGTCTTTTTTAAGTTTCATCAATTAGTCATTAATTTGCTAATTTTTTTCCTACAATTCATAAGTATTTCTTTCATTAAATTTTCTAACTTAATCTGTAAATTATAAATAAAGTGTATAATATGAGCTTTAGTCAAAAATTTTGCAAAACATCTTTAGAAGCTTTGATAATTAAGAGTTTTTAATAGAATTCTCTAACTTGATTAGTTATTATTTTATTTCTTCATTTTCTATGCTATCCTGATTATTGTCAATCCCCTTTTAATTTATTTTGATATAGGATTCATTTTACCTTGAAGCATTTTCTTATTGCATAATTTAGCTTTATCTTTCTCTTAATTGCTTTAATTGGTATTCTATTGATCGTATAGGAAAGGCTTCTTAATCATAAAATCCAAAAGGCTTTAATATCAATCGGTTTAGCTCATTTTCTAAGTCCTTTATTATATCCCTATCTAATAAGAACTAGTGAGATGTTTGTTTTTCTTTTGTATCAAAATTTTTAATAATGTTTAAAAAATCATGATCTGTGACTAATGATGATTATTCATCTCCTTCAATCTCACGAAAAAGAAAAGCTTAGGCTAGCTACAATTCTAACTCTTTTTAAGATTTATCCAAGCCTCTCTAAGCTAGATCAATCAGTTTATGAAGTTTTATTCCATCTCTTTTTATTTGCTCTAAAATTTTCTTATATTATTCATTATTTTTATTATCTTCTAATTCTCCTTAGTAATTTCTTATTAGAAAGCATACCTTATGGTTATCTATATTGAGAGTATTCTTGATTTTTTTTAACTAGTTATAATTTTCAATAAGTTCTAATTCAGAATCAAATTGTATAATCCACATTTTAAACAAGGGCAAAATTTTAACCAAAATTTCAATAGGTATTTAACCATGAGCATCAGCCACACTAAGGTTTCTTGACCCATTAAATTATGTATCAAACATAATATCAATAGTATTATTGTTTAATTGGCAGGTATCCTAAGTCTCAAATTTTTCTTATTGATAAAATAATTAATTGATCAATTCTGTCTTTCCTATTTAAGCTTATTTTTCACTTAATGAAAAATTGATGATAGAGAAAGATGTCTTAAATACATAATAAAGTTTCTCATTAAATCCAAATAAATCGATTTCCTCTTTAACGGCTTACAAGGATGGATTTTGAAATATTAAAGGGATAGGATACATACTTTAATAGAGTTTCAGCAACATAACTTTTAGTTCATCATTAGAGTTGTTATAAAACAATTAAAACAAGGCCTTCATATTATTGATAATCTTCGTAGATTCTTTATTTTGACTTCTGTATGTAGTTATTATCGACAATAGCTTTTTTGGTGATTCCCCTCTCTTAATAATGTTGAAAAAAAAAGGAATTAATGCCTTAAATTTTGATGTATCCTTTATATTATCCATCCAATCCTGAACAATTCTCATTTCTTATTGCGATGTTGTTTCGGTTAAGGAGATATTGAAATCTTCAAGAGTAAAACCACCATCTAAAGGACATTAATCAAATATATTTTTTTGAAGAAAGTAAACAGAATTTAATTGGATACGCTTAAAGTAATTTACTTTTCCCAATTCTTCCTTATAAAACTGAGGATTCTCCACAAATAATGATAAGCATTCCTCCAATAAATTTTAAATAAGGTCTCTAGAATTTAAAAATTTTATTAAGTTAAACTTGAAATTAAGTTTATCAATAATTTATCTTTTTTTAGCCCTCCAAATTTAATCGAAATCATAACAAGGCTAATCAAAAAAATAATGAAGATTAGATAGTATAAATTTTGAGATCTATTCATCCTTTTTAACCATAATTGTAAAAATAATTATTAATGTTCTTTTAAAAACACTAGGTGTAATATATTGCTTTTTATTTAATGAGAGTAAGTAATTCAATAGCCAAGGTCTTAGACTCACAAATAGGGCTCTGAATGTTTGAATCTTAACATTATATTTTCCTGGGCACATTGGGACTAATTTTTTAAGAATATTCATATAATTGTTTTTGGTTTTAGGCTGTGAAATTAAATATTAATTGACTGTTGCCGCTAAAAGTATCTGAAATTTATTCTTTCCAAAAAGAACTTTCAAAGAAAATAATTCCTTTTCATTTAATAGCAACAACTCCTTGATTAATTCTTCTGAAAATTAGGATGTTTGTTCAAATGAGAATTCTTCTTGCTTTCTTTCTAAGTTATAATTTTCTATAAAATAATCGTTTAAGCACATCAATGCCCTTAAAAGCTTGAAAGATTAACTTATCTTATATAGCCTGATGATGCTTGCTATTAATTTATTGAATTTTGGATTCAACAATTCTAAAAATAACACAATTTCTCCATATGATAATTTTTATTCTTGATTTATTAATTCACTTATGTATATATCAATTTCATCGCTCTTCTGAAGTATAAATTGTAACTTTAAATCTTTTATTTTTTCATCATTAAATTCTCTTTAAGGATTCTAGAACAAAAGCAATATAACAAATTGCTATTAAGTTGTTAAGCTCGAAACAAAATTTTAATTAAGAATCTCTTATGAACAATTCTTTATCAAATCATCTTACTTTTTCAAAGTAGCATCATTATCTTAACTGGTATCATTTTATTCTCCTCTTAAACTTTGTTCAACATTTTAATTCTATTGAGTGAACTAGATTCTTAATTTTTTCAATTTAAATATAGGTATAAATCTTAAAATGCTTAATTAACAATATAAATCAGTTTATAAAACGCTTTGAATATCCTTTTTGATTAATTAATAAATTAAATTGTAATTATTTTGTTAGAACTCTTAATAGATGAATATTTTTTCTTTTTCTAGATATTCTTCTTTTTAACATGAAAATTATATTAAATGATGGATTATAAAAAGGTAAATTTAATCTTAGCTATTTTCTTTTACTTTAGAAATAAAACTCTTTATCAATCTTAACTTTTATTCAATTTTTGTGAGTTTTTTTAGATTAATTTGCAATTAATTAAATTCACCATATTTCTGTTAGCAATATTACTACCAAAAGTAGAAGATTATGCTAAAGTACAGGCTCTCAAATCCATGATAATTCAAAATATTTTAATCTACTTTTTTGAAATCTATTTTATATTCCCGTTTAACATTCTCACAATAAAGTAACTGTGAAACTTATTTTTTAACATTCTCAAGTGCTTTTTCTTTTGTTGAAATAGTGCAGAGCTTAATAAATATTTATTAATCAAAGGAGAGAGATTATAATTCTGTTGAAAAATCTTAACAGTTTTTTCCTTCCAATTAAATGGCAGAAATAATTTTATTAATCATTTCATAGTTTTCTGTTTGCAATAAATTATTTTCGTACTCTAAAAATTACAAAACTTATTCTTCTAATAAAGCACCTATAGTCATTTCTAATTTTTTTGCTTCTGATTCATCAAGATCATTATTCTTGTCTATAAACCCTAATAAAATTTTAAATATATCTTTATAAGGATATCCCCATTCTGTAATCTTTGATAAACGATTGAGATTCAAAAGGTCGACAACTTTTTCTTTAAGTTTTTATATAATTTCAAAATTATTTATAATTATTGGGTTGATATTGTTTTAATCACAAAACTCTTTTTATTTTAAGAGATTTATTAACTATTACCAGTCTGTTTGTTGAATTAGTTATTAGTAAATCTTTTTATAATCGATAACTTCCTGGATTTCAGTTGAAATATCTTCTGTAGTTAAATATTCCAATTCGAGTTTCTTTACATAGATAAAGGTTTATTAATTAGCTTTAATGTAGATAAGAGCAGCCTTTTGATCTTTCTCATTCAGTTTTTNTTCAACAATTCTAAAAATAACACAATTTCTCCATATGATAATTTTTATTCTTGATTTATTAATTCACTTATGTATATATCAATTTCATCGCTCTTCTGAAGTATAAATTGTAACTTTAAATCTTTTATTTTTTCATCATTAAATTCTCTTTAAGGATTCTAGAACAAAAGCAATATAACAAATTGCTATTAAGTTGTTAAGCTCGAAACAAAATTTTAATTAAGAATCTCTTATGAACAATTCTTTATCAAATCATCTTACTTTTTCAAAGTAGCATCATTATCTTAACTGGTATCATTTTATTCTCCTCTTAAACTTTGTTCAACATTTTAATTCTATTGAGTGAACTAGATTCTTAATTTTTTCAATTTAAATATAGGTATAAATCTTAAAATGCTTAATTAACAATATAAATCAGTTTATAAAACGCTTTGAATATCCTTTTTGATTAATTAATAAATTAAATTGTAATTATTTTGTTAGAACTCTTAATAGATGAATATTTTTTCTTTTTCTAGATATTCTTCTTTTTAACATGAAAATTATATTAAATGATGGATTATAAAAAGGTAAATTTAATCTTAGCTATTTTCTTTTACTTTAGAAATAAAACTCTTTATCAATCTTAACTTTTATTCAATTTTTGTGAGTTTTTTTAGATTAATTTGCAATTAATTAAATTCACCATATTTCTGTTAGCAATATTACTACCAAAAGTAGAAGATTATGCTAAAGTACAGGCTCTCAAATCCATGATAATTCAAAATATTTTAATCTACTTTTTTGAAATCTATTTTATATTCCCGTTTAACATTCTCACAATAAAGTAACTGTGAAACTTATTTTTTAACATTCTCAAGTGCTTTTTCTTTTGTTGAAATAGTGCAGAGCTTAATAAATATTTATTAATCAAAGGAGAGAGATTATAATTCTGTTGAAAAATCTTAACAGTTTTTTCCTTCCAATTAAATGGCAGAAATAATTTTATTAATCATTTCATAGTTTTCTGTTTGCAATAAATTATTTTCGTACTCTAAAAATTACAAAACTTATTCTTCTAATAAAGCACCTATAGTCATTTCTAATTTTTTTGCTTCTGATTCATCAAGATCATTATTCTTGTCTATAAACCCTAATAAAATTTTAAATATATCTTTATAAGGATATCCCCATTCTGTAATCTTTGATAAACGATTGAGATTCAAAAGGTCGACAACTTTTTCTTTAAGTTTTTATATAATTTCAAAATTATTTATAATTATTGGGTTGATATTGTTTTAATCACAAAACTCTTTTTATTTTAAGAGATTTATTAACTATTACCAGTCTGTTTGTTGAATTAGTTATTAGTAAATCTTTTTATAATCGATAACTTCCTGGATTTCAGTTGAAATATCTTCTGTAGTTAAATATTCCAATTCGAGTTTCTTTACATAGATAAAGGTTTATTAATTAGCTTTAATGTAGATAAGAGCAGCCTTTTGATCTTTCTCATTCAGTTTTTCAAATATGTCTTTAAACATCTCTAAAATCTCGCATTCATCACTCCAGATGCCCTCATTTATTTGATCACATAATTCTACCAATTATTCTGCTACTCCTTCATCACTAATTTAATGTTAATTCATAAGAAAAATAAAATACTTTGAAAAAGATATATATCATTCATAATTCTATTAAAATTCTAATAATGAAAAAAATCTCAAAAGCTCCAAAATTAAATTGGAACATGTTTCTATAACTAGATTCTTGTTAAACTTATAATTAACAGGGGATTCATCATAAGTAATTTAAAATAACTTTGCCTTATGGTTAGAATATTCATTTGGATTGGTTGATGCTCGTTTATTCTGTGAATAAACATTATTAGGAATTTTCTATTCATCCTTCTGCAATTTTCTTTGCTTGAAGGGTGAATGAAGCAGCATTGAATGAAAAATATCGTCAAAATTAGTTCTTCTTCAATGGATTAATATGAAAAAGTTAACAAAATGACTTTTTTTACTTTATTAACCTAATTTATATTTATAAGTTTAATGAAGTTTATGAATTCTTAAACTTCTAAGAACCTTAATTTTTTGAAAAAAAAATTAAATGTTATTATGTAATAACTGAATCGTATTTCGCTATCACTCAACTACATAAAATCACCCCATCTATTCTAAAGTAATTAAAAGATAAAATTAAAAATTCCAGAGATGTTGACTAATGAAAAACAAATTCCAAAATAAGTTATTGATTTCACTCTGAATAATTTTATTAAAAGATAATAAATAGAATCTAAAACTTAGGAGGATTTGAAAGGTTGATGACATTTATTGAAAGCTTTTGATGAAAATATGGTTGATGACGATAAACTATAACTCCAAATTTGATATTATACGCCATTCTAAAGAGTCTGAATAATTGATAATAAATATAAAAAAAATAAATAAATTCACCTCTAATATCTGAATCGGATCTAAACACCATAATTAAAATGTAAAAATAAAATGGGTCAACTAAAGATCACATTCTTTCACTTATAATGAAAATTCTAATTTGTATTTNCAATAAATTATTTTCGTACTCTAAAAATTACAAAACTTATTCTTCTAATAAAGCACCTATAGTCATTTCTAATTTTTTTGCTTCTGATTCATCAAGATCATTATTCTTGTCTATAAACCCTAATAAAATTTTAAATATATCTTTATAAGGATATCCCCATTCTGTAATCTTTGATAAACGATTGAGATTCAAAAGGTCGACAACTTTTTCTTTAAGTTTTTATATAATTTCAAAATTATTTATAATTATTGGGTTGATATTGTTTTAATCACAAAACTCTTTTTATTTTAAGAGATTTATTAACTATTACCAGTCTGTTTGTTGAATTAGTTATTAGTAAATCTTTTTATAATCGATAACTTCCTGGATTTCAGTTGAAATATCTTCTGTAGTTAAATATTCCAATTCGAGTTTCTTTACATAGATAAAGGTTTATTAATTAGCTTTAATGTAGATAAGAGCAGCCTTTTGATCTTTCTCATTCAGTTTTTCAAATATGTCTTTAAACATCTCTAAAATCTCGCATTCATCACTCCAGATGCCCTCATTTATTTGATCACATAATTCTACCAATTATTCTGCTACTCCTTCATCACTAATTTAATGTTAATTCATAAGAAAAATAAAATACTTTGAAAAAGATATATATCATTCATAATTCTATTAAAATTCTAATAATGAAAAAAATCTCAAAAGCTCCAAAATTAAATTGGAACATGTTTCTATAACTAGATTCTTGTTAAACTTATAATTAACAGGGGATTCATCATAAGTAATTTAAAATAACTTTGCCTTATGGTTAGAATATTCATTTGGATTGGTTGATGCTCGTTTATTCTGTGAATAAACATTATTAGGAATTTTCTATTCATCCTTCTGCAATTTTCTTTGCTTGAAGGGTGAATGAAGCAGCATTGAATGAAAAATATCGTCAAAATTAGTTCTTCTTCAATGGATTAATATGAAAAAGTTAACAAAATGACTTTTTTTACTTTATTAACCTAATTTATATTTATAAGTTTAATGAAGTTTATGAATTCTTAAACTTCTAAGAACCTTAATTTTTTGAAAAAAAAATTAAATGTTATTATGTAATAACTGAATCGTATTTCGCTATCACTCAACTACATAAAATCACCCCATCTATTCTAAAGTAATTAAAAGATAAAATTAAAAATTCCAGAGATGTTGACTAATGAAAAACAAATTCCAAAATAAGTTATTGATTTCACTCTGAATAATTTTATTAAAAGATAATAAATAGAATCTAAAACTTAGGAGGATTTGAAAGGTTGATGACATTTATTGAAAGCTTTTGATGAAAATATGGTTGATGACGATAAACTATAACTCCAAATTTGATATTATACGCCATTCTAAAGAGTCTGAATAATTGATAATAAATATAAAAAAAATAAATAAATTCACCTCTAATATCTGAATCGGATCTAAACACCATAATTAAAATGTAAAAATAAAATGGGTCAACTAAAGATCACATTCTTTCACTTATAATGAAAATTCTAATTTGTATTTGAAATAAAAAAAATAATTATTATTATTGTAAGAAAGAAATACACCATAGCTATCTCAATAATATTGGTTAATTCCATCGACATACAAGTTTAAAATTCATATTTGTTATTGAGGCTTAAATTAGGAAGTTGAAATTCAAAGGAAAATATATTAAAGAATCTAGGATTTTGAAAATTTAGAATAACACAGGAAGCAATGTAGATCTCATCATTACAAATTCAATCTAAATTATAATTACTTAATTAATATATTCATCTTTTTATATATAATTAGAACAACAATTTTAGTAGAAATTAAAGAACAATAACAAGATAATTAATATAAAAATATTCACGAAATTAAATTAATTAACAATAATAATCATAATCTCAAAAATCTAATATTACTAATAACATCCAAAAATTTAATCATAATAATAATTCAAAAACCCTAATCTATAAATAATAACGTAGCATTCACAATTGATTTCTTTATCAACTTTTATTTTCTTTTTTATCACAATATTTAATAGAGATTCGAAATCTCGTCTCTTTATTAATTATATTCCAAAACATCTCTAAACTTCTCACTTAATTACAAATTTATACTCTATATATAATTTTAATCAAGGTAATAAGTAGTTTCGTTCAATATATAGGAGAATATTTTATTGATTTATACATTTGATTCTGCTCTAAATATGGATGTTGATTTTTAAATACATTTTCCACTTGAACCATAATGTAATTATACTTAATCTAACTTAAAATTCCTTTCATCTCTTTAATTATTGTATTATTTAAAATGAAATCATAATTAATTAACGTAATTGTGATTTAAAGAATTCTTCTCTAACTTTTGTATTTCACATAGAAGTTCCATTTTGATATCGACGTTTATTTTAGCATAAAAATATCTCTTATCCATTTTTCTTGTAATTCTTTTTGTTGATATAAGTTATTTTTACTTTTTACTTTCAAGATTTTTAGAAATATTTTTAACATTATTAATGATCATACTAATCTGTGCTATTTTTGTAATCATTCAATAGATTAGTTGTGCGTGGGTGAGAATAAGTTCATATCTAACAACAATCAAGCAATTTAGTAACACAGATACTGATGGATTCATAAGTCAATTTGGTAATCCAAATATACCTGCTAATTATATGACTTGCTCAGCAGAAGGGAGCTATATAACTTTAAATGCTTAATCACAATCAGCAACATATATGAACAGTTTATCAGCAAATTCCTAATCAATGTATTTTATCACATACGATCTCATATTTTTTAACTTGTGGAATAATACGGATTTTGTATTGTACAGTATTGGCTCCAATTTGAAATTAATAACTTATGATGAGATCGAAAAAGTAAGTGTTTCTAAAGGATTCTGCAATAATTAAGTTGCAATCATTTAATCTATCAATACTACAATAAATTCTACTTATATTTCTGGTTACCATAAATTTGAGATCAACTCTCTAAGCGCAAGTGTCTCAATGAAAAATTTAGTCGTATCTGCCCTCTAGTGTCATGGAACTTGCAGATTATGTTTCGGAAGCAAATTTAACTAGTGTACTCATTGTTTTGTTTATGGTACTCTTACATCTGAGAATGCATGTACATACTCATGCCCAAGCACAGCTATGTATTTTGTGAAAAATTAGGGTTGCAGGCCTACATGCCAGATTAGTTAATAAAAGTATGTGAAAGGAGTTTGCGAACCTTATTCAAGTATTGATTATTATAATTAGTTTCCACCTTTCTTAGTCTTTATATTTCATATTATAAATCTACAGAGTAATTTAAATGGCAAATTATTTATGATTTTCAGTAATTAAATACAGCATTACCAGAAAATAGACAATACGATGGTTATTATATTTATGGATTGTTTATAAATAAACAAGGGCTATATAGAGTTCTAACATTGCCGACAAATTCAGGATCATTCATGATAGCGTTTACTCTTGATCTAGTGCTCTTTAATAAAATGCCACCTTTAAGTAGTATTCAATTTTTAATAAATGATACTTACTATGGTTAACTATATACCGATGATTAAGGTAATTTGAAAGCGGACAAATTATTCAGATATTATACTGAAACCAAATAAAATACAGTGTTTAATGGTATTTCTTATACTGATAATCTGTATAATATTTTATATTTCTATGCCAATATATCAAATACTGTCATTATAAAAATCATAGGGAACTATTCGTAAATTTATTTTATATTGTAGAGATCCAAATGCTGGTTGGGGATTAAGAAGTTTTTATGTTTATTCTGGGTATTGCCCAATCAATTGCTTGAAATGTGAAGAAAAATTTAAATGCGCTTAGTGCTAAGGTGGATATTTGAAATCGAAATGGGGGACATGTAGTTTATGTTTAGGTTCTTATTAATAAAAAATTAATACCACCCATTGTTAGGAAGACGATGATCAAACAAATTGTAAATCTCATCGTTATATTAGATTCTAAATACATTATTAAAGAATTCATAGGTCTAGAATTAGATCTAGAAGCATATCCAGAATATACCCTTTTAAGTGCTGGTGGCCAAAACTTTCTTAAGGGATCAGGAATTTATTATTCAATTTGGAAATCCCAATACAGAATATTTGGAGGTCCTTTTATTTGGGCATAGGCAAAGTTTTAAAGAATTGTTGCAATAGAAGATCCTCATCATGCTATAACTATTTCTTTTTTTGTGATTTTCGGGCCTAATTTCCCTGAAGATGGATCATTTATTTTTAGTTTAGATGGAATTCCTTAAACAATATTGACATCGAGTAATTCAGCAGAAATAGCGATCAAACATAAATAAAACCATTCATAAAATAGCATAATAGTTTAGTTTGAGTGCTCAGGCATAAATAATGAACCTATCGATGGTTTTTGTGGGTTTTATTAGTTTTATGTTACAGTTCATTAATGCAAACCTAAGTGCAGCTCTTGTTCAAATGATTCAAATTGCTCAGATTCAACTTATACAGAATCGATAACTCAATGCTAAGATAACTAATACTTTGATTAATATCAGGATAAATGTTAGAGTTGCCCCACAACCTGTATGACTTGCACCTCTTTTTAAAATTGTTTAACTTGTGTTGCAACCTTCTAAAATCCAGTTTAAGGCTGTATTTGTGCTTCTAATTAATATCTGGAATCTAACTAATGTAATGATTGTCCTTAGAATTGTAATCAATGCATTAGTTCTTTATAATGTACAGAATGTATTCCAAACTTGTTTAGAATATTAGTGAATAATTAATGTGTTTGCTAGGATAGTTATTTTGAATATAATTAAGAATAAACATGCAAAAAATGTGTAGAGAATTGTCTAAAATGTAAGTTATTAAATGAATGTGAGATTTGTTTAGTTGGATATTAGTTAAGTGGTAATAATACTTGTGCTTAAAATCCGAATACATATTTTGTGGAAACACTTTAAAAATATTTGGATTGCCCATCTTCATCAACATGTAATCCATGCTAAGGAATAACTGTGTCATGTGAATGTAGTGATAAGATAATTACAGAGGGCGAATATTGTGATGATGGAAATTCAATTTAATATGATGGATGCTTTGAATGTAAATTCTAGTGTTAACCATAATGCAGTAAATGTATTGATGGAATCTGTTATGAATGTGCTACATTGGGTTGGTATTTAGATGTTTCTTAGTCAACTTATTAATGCAAAGAAGTTTGTTGGGATGGACTAATCGTTGGAAACGAAAAATGTGATGATGCTATAACTACATCCAATTGCAGAGATTGTAAATACTATTGTAGAACTGATTGCGTAGAATGTGATTATTAGAATGGTAAATGCATTAGATGTAGAGAGGGTCTAATTCCTGAAAACAATTATTGCAAAAATATTTGTGGAGACGGCATTGTTGTATCAGCTATTGATATTTCTTTTAATGAAGAGTGTGATGATGGTAATCTATCTGATTATGATGGATGCAGTAAAATATGTTAATATTAATGCTAGAATATATCAATTTGTGATGATTGTCAAAATAATAAATGTTTCCATTGTATTAATAAATATAAACTGAATAATAATTTGCATAGATGCGAATGCGATCAATACTGCCAATCATGTGACTTCATTAATGGGCAAGGATGTCTATTATGTAATCCTGGTTTTATATTAATTGATCGTGAATGTGTAGCAATTTGTGGAGACTCATTAGTAACACCTGTTGAAGAATGCGATGACGGAAATCTCACTTTTGGAGATGGATGCCATTAATGCTACTTTACTTGTGAAAATCAATGCTTAACATGTACAATGGGATATTGTCATGTATGCGTTATTGGTTATCAAAATATTAAAGGGAGATGTGAAAAACTATATATTTAACCGCTTTATGCTGTTTCACCGAAAAATGATATTTATTCCAATAGCCTGTCATAATCATTTTATTAAGACTATTAGTACACTAATTATCTAAACCAAATAAGTTTAGAGGCTTTAGATAATATATCTCTATAGTAAATACAACAAAATGAAATTGTGTATTTTACTTATTTATTTGTAAATCTTATATAATCTTCAAACTAATAAATCTTTTTTGAAGCTGACCTATCAATAATTAATTATTAAAGAAATTAGGAAAGTATAATGTATAGCAATTGTTTCATGCTAGATATTAAATGTAGGAATCACTGTCTTGAATTTACTAAATAAGATGGGTTAAAATTAAAACATTTAGAAAATTGTTAAATTGAAAAATTCATAGCAATCGAATATTTGGAGGATAGTTTTTAATTATGCAACGGAAATGGTTTCGAATGTTTATAGAAATGTCCAATCTATTGTTAAATTTGTTCTCAAGGTGCATGCCTTTCTTGTAATGCTGGTTATAATTTGGATATAATTGGCAACTCTTGTACACCTGTTTGCGGAGATAACCTTATTACTGTTGAAGAATACTGTGATGACGGTAATAATCTTAGTTATGATGGTTGCAGCTTATGCTAATTTTAGTGTTAAGATGAATGTCTTGATTGTTAATATGGTAAATGTAAAAAATGTTAGGATAATTTTTTTTTGGAAGTACCAAAGAGTAGATGTAATGATCGGAAAAGTTGTAATGAAAAAGATGGATTATATTATGATGATCAAAATAATGAATGTTTAACAAAATGTGGAGATTCTATCAAAGCAGGAACTGAATAATGCGATGATGGAAACGAAATACTATATGATGGTTGCTTCTAATGTTTGATTTCTTGTGATAAATTTTGTGCTGTTTGTTAATTAAAAGGCTGTGAATAATGTTAAACTGGATACAAGAAAATTGATTAATAATGCATTCTTGATTGTGGAGATGGTTTAATCATAGGTAATGAAGAGTGTGATGATGGCAATTCTCTAAAGAATGATGGATGCACAAATTGTATAATAGATCAGGGATATAAATGTTAAACGCTTGATTAAAAGAGCTTTTGTTTTTAATGCAATCCTGAATGTTCAGATTGTGAGCTAAAAAATGATTAATTAGTCTGTTTATAATGTAGTAAAGGCTACTTTATTAGTTTTGGTCAATGTTTAAAATGTTCTGAACATTGTTTAGAATGCGAATATAGTCCTAATAATTGTACAGAGTGCATGATAGAAAATTGCCAAAAATGCGATAAAAAATTAGGATATTATAATGATTTTAGTTAAAAAAAATGTACTACAATTTGCGGAGATGGTATCATGGCTGGAACGGAGGCATGTGATGATGGCAATCATTTTAATTAAGATGGATGCAATTAAAGATGTGAAATTGAAAAAGGCTTTTAATGTGCTTTAAACATTTGTAATAAAAAAGAAGAAAAATAAATTGAATATCATTATTCTAATTCGAGCACTGCTAATAGCATATTCTTGAAGAGTGAAATTAATTTTGAAGATTGTTGCACTAGAATCAAGGTTAATATTGATTATTTTAATAATAGTGATTTTAATTATTCATTAAAGCCTATTTAATTAAAATCCAATAATAAATCTGAATTAGAGACTGAATTTCATGAATGTCAAGTTTAATTTAACTTCTTTAAAACTATTGGAACGTTTAATTTAATTCATTTATTAGTTCCCATTTCTTAAAGTTAGTCAAGGCTTTTAGAGGAGGATGATGATATCAGAGAAATCATTGTCATCCCAAGAAAATCGGTTTATTATAATCAGGCTTAGATAGCTTAAGCATAGGCAGTTGTTTCTACTTCAAATTAATTATAATTTTTACTATAATTGATTGGTCCATTGACAATTTTATTTGGAGGACTTAACTTTTTTTGGACAATTTTAGACTTATTAACTTGGATAAACAATTTTTACTTACTTAATGTAGATTATCCACTCAATGTGAAAATGTTCTTTTAACATTTATAATGGGATGATATTTTTAATATTCCTGAATTTATTTCTTTAAATTAGCCCACTGACCCTTACTACTTTGAGGCTCCTCCAAAATTTAATGAAAAAAATATTAATCCATTATTTCTTAATAATATCTAGGTATTTAGTTGCCTCATATTATTGGCTATCTTAATATACTTCTTATCTTTAACAGTTATAAGAGTTTTTGAAAAATAGATTCCCAAAACTAATGCTCCAAGAAAAGGTATTACTGTCTTCACAGTTTGCTATGTTGAATCTAATATGTAAACATAAGAACAATAACAGCCAAAATACCCTATGAACGAGAAGCTTTAAAAGCTTCCAAGCATAGTAGTTTTATTAATTAGAGAATCATATAAGTACAAACTAACATTTTTATCTAAAATCTTTGCAATAACCAATTTACTTTTACTAGATATTTTTATGGCCTCCTTGCTGCAATTAATCTGTGAGAAAAAAAAAGATTACTTTATAGTAACTATAAATAATCTTTTGGCAATTTTTGGTCTTATATTCATATTGGGAATGTACTAGTTGTATGAATTCGTTAGTTCAAAGCACTATTTATTGTTAAACCACTCAAGCTTTTCTAACAAATATTCTTCAATCTATGAAGGAATTGACTATAAAAATAAAATAGCCAAAAAATACTGTTATTTTAATTTGATTAGAAAAATCGCTTTCATAATTTCAATAGTAATTTTCTATGAGAAACCCGTCCTTTAAACTACATTTTGTTGTTTATCTTGCTTTATTAATTAAGCATTTTTACTATATTAGAATCCTTTTGATTCAAAGATTTAATTAATACAAACAGGAGTCCCTGATTTTAGTATTTTTTGTATAATCTTGTTGACTGTATTAATTTCGGTGGATGATTTGACTAATATTTTGAGTTTTGATCAAAAATACAACATTGGATGGGCAATTATATGTTTAATCAGTTTATCAATACTGATTTAATTAATTTTCTTATTAATAGAGTTTTATTAAAATCTCTTAGCAAATTTAAGAGGACTAAAGTAACTCTTTTGTAAATGAATATTATATATCTATTTTTGAATTGTGCATTAATTATATATTTTTATATTTATCTGCAAGGAAGCTAAAATTTCAGTAGGGTTAGGAACTACAGACTTTGATAACCCTTTAAATTTTCATTACTTATATTAGTTTAAAATTCTTCATTAATACTAAGTATGGACAAGACTAAGAACCAACTTATCCTTCTTCCTTAGATAATTTAAAAAAATAGGTGAAACTAATCCTAAAACAACATGACTGTAGACCTCCAATTATACTTTTCATATTCCAAGAATTTTGTTATATTTATTTAAAATATTAAGCTACTTCTTAAAGTGCATTCATATTAGACTTCTTGCTATCGAATTAACTTTAATGCGCTATAAGTTGTTATAATAATTTTTTATTTTGCCTTTGATTTACTAAATGAGATAATTGATTTAAAGTATCATTGTAGAAANATACTTCTTATCTTTAACAGTTATAAGAGTTTTTGAAAAATAGATTCCCAAAACTAATGCTCCAAGAAAAGGTATTACTGTCTTCACAGTTTGCTATGTTGAATCTAATATGTAAACATAAGAACAATAACAGCCAAAATACCCTATGAACGAGAAGCTTTAAAAGCTTCCAAGCATAGTAGTTTTATTAATTAGAGAATCATATAAGTACAAACTAACATTTTTATCTAAAATCTTTGCAATAACCAATTTACTTTTACTAGATATTTTTATGGCCTCCTTGCTGCAATTAATCTGTGAGAAAAAAAAAGATTACTTTATAGTAACTATAAATAATCTTTTGGCAATTTTTGGTCTTATATTCATATTGGGAATGTACTAGTTGTATGAATTCGTTAGTTCAAAGCACTATTTATTGTTAAACCACTCAAGCTTTTCTAACAAATATTCTTCAATCTATGAAGGAATTGACTATAAAAATAAAATAGCCAAAAAATACTGTTATTTTAATTTGATTAGAAAAATCGCTTTCATAATTTCAATAGTAATTTTCTATGAGAAACCCGTCCTTTAAACTACATTTTGTTGTTTATCTTGCTTTATTAATTAAGCATTTTTACTATATTAGAATCCTTTTGATTCAAAGATTTAATTAATACAAACAGGAGTCCCTGATTTTAGTATTTTTTGTATAATCTTGTTGACTGTATTAATTTCGGTGGATGATTTGACTAATATTTTGAGTTTTGATCAAAAATACAACATTGGATGGGCAATTATATGTTTAATCAGTTTATCAATACTGATTTAATTAATTTTCTTATTAATAGAGTTTTATTAAAATCTCTTAGCAAATTTAAGAGGACTAAAGTAACTCTTTTGTAAATGAATATTATATATCTATTTTTGAATTGTGCATTAATTATATATTTTTATATTTATCTGCAAGGAAGCTAAAATTTCAGTAGGGTTAGGAACTACAGACTTTGATAACCCTTTAAATTTTCATTACTTATATTAGTTTAAAATTCTTCATTAATACTAAGTATGGACAAGACTAAGAACCAACTTATCCTTCTTCCTTAGATAATTTAAAAAAATAGGTGAAACTAATCCTAAAACAACATGACTGTAGACCTCCAATTATACTTTTCATATTCCAAGAATTTTGTTATATTTATTTAAAATATTAAGCTACTTCTTAAAGTGCATTCATATTAGACTTCTTGCTATCGAATTAACTTTAATGCGCTATAAGTTGTTATAATAATTTTTTATTTTGCCTTTGATTTACTAAATGAGATAATTGATTTAAAGTATCATTGTAGAAAATATAAAAACTCTAAACAGCAGCTTTTTGTATTATTATGTTTCGAAATACAGTGTATGAACTTTAAATAACCTAATCTTTGGTTAGATAGGAATATTTTTAAACATCGATAATAATAATTGTAGAATATAATCAATATTTTCAAATTAACTATTTCAGGTTTTGTTTTAAAGAAATCAAATGCAAACTTTATTAACAAAGTAAAATATTAATGTTATACAATATGGAGATCTAATAGAAGACAAATAATTTATAAATTAATGAAGAAATATCTAGAGGGTGACTGATAAATTATTAAAACTACTTAAAAGGCAATTGATACTAGTACTTAATAATTTTGATATGACTTTTCAAAAGGAATGGCTGATTACTTCATTCCAATTATCTTTAGTTTTCGATTATAATTCATGATTTATTAATTATAATGACTTCTTCTGTTATTCATCTTCATTTAGGGGGAGCTGGAGTAAAGATAGGGGATGCTCTATGGAAACTTTATGAGAAGGAAGAATCAGATACAAATGTCAAGGGCTACATTTATAATGAAAATGATAATAATCGGTACCCTTTAGCTCTATTTGCCGATTTTGATGATCAAATGATAAACGAAGTCAAAAATAATAAATCAATAAAGTATAAATCTACCTCTTTTGTTTCAGGAAAGGAGGATGCATCAAACAACTTTTGCAGAGGTCATTTTACAGTTGGGAAGGAGTTAATTGACCAATGTTTAGATTAATTGAGAAAACAAATAGAAAGTATTGACAGACTAGATTAATTCATTATTACTTCTGCTTTGAGTGGTGGAACAGGATCAGGTTTCGCCAATTTACTTTTGGAGAGAATGTCAACTGAATATGGAAGAAAGACTTAAAATAATGCATTCTTAGTTTATCCTTCCTAAGAAATGTCTAATATTACAGTAGATGTCTATAATGTTGTATTATCCACTCACTTAACTTCAGAATATTATGACTCTGTTGTAATGTTGGATAATTAATCAATGTATGAATCCATAGATTCACAGATTGGTTTAGATTATGTTGATTACACTCACTTAAATAATTTAATATCATAATTAATTAGCTCTTATACAGGTTTAAGAAGATTCAGTTAAATTGATAATACTAAATTGCTTTCTGGGTTGTGTCCATATCCAAAAATTCATTATATAACTCCTTCGTATGGACCTTTGGCAACTATAAATGACAAAATTAATTAAGAATTAAATGAAAAATAACTTACATCATATATAACAAAACCAGAATAAAGGTTATTTATATCCCAAATTAATCCTGAGCACTTTTGCACAGCTTTAGTGCATCGTTCTAAAGAAAAAAATTAATTTTTCGGTTAATCCGCCTTATCATTTTAAAAGATGAAGATTAGATATTAGGAGAGTCCTTATGTGCTTCAATGTATATCATAAAATTACACAGTTATTTCAGAACTTGCATAATTAAAGTAAACAGGTGTATTTCTTTCAAATAATCTTTCTGTGCTTAATTATTTTTAAATGCTTTTAAAGAAATATAATAAACTCTTTGATCGAAGAGCCTTTCTTCATTGGTTTTGGGGAGAAGGTGGTGGTTTTGGATTTATTCAAGAATGTGCAGGCTAATTGGAATATTTGATTCGAGATTATTAAGAGGTGTGGGAAAAGGACGACGATATTGATATTGATATTATTGATTGAAGGTTGCATTTAATTAATGATTGTAATTATCATAAAATTATATTTCTAAATTTAATCAATTTTATGTCTAAGATTTTTGCCTTTGAAAAGAAAAAGTGCTCAAAGTACTAAATAACGTTTTCAGTTATGAACAAAAATAATCACCATTTGAAAATCTAGAAATTTATTTTTATAGTATATCTTAGATCATTTTTGTTTGTACTTCAGATTATAGTTCAGCCAATGTCTGACTTCTTGTATCTTATGTTCGAACTACCGTTCACCATATTATGGCATCATCTACTACTTACTTTCCCTTGCATTCAATGATTGCTTATTTATAAATATCTGTCATGTAATAATCTTTTTGTTTGGCTAATAATGCCTTCATTCTGTGCAACTAGGCTTGAATTGTTGTTTAGCATGCCTAAAAAGTTTATCACCTATATTATTTATAATTAATTTGTGCAGTTTGTTATTTCATTTGCCTCTGTCAATGATAAAAATGGTGGATATTGTACTGTGTTGTCATGGCTTGACTGTAGTTAATCAATCTGCATTTATTTTCAGAATAACTTGGTGGTCACTATCCGTATAATAGTAGTAACCCATTTTAAAAGTATTAGCAACTGTGTAAAAATGATGTTAGTATAAAATACCGACCTGATGTTATTGATATTTCATGTATCGATGGATATTTTTATAATGGTTATAATTAATAATAACCACATTCAACCACGGTTAATATCACTTGTCTCGATCAAGGACTCCGATATCAAAATCATCATACTATGGATGTGGTACTAATTGAGTCTAAAACTAATACACTGACTCAACAATATGTAAAAACAACTTATGATTTAATCAGGACTGCATTTAATAATTCTTCATGCAAGATACAGACTAAAACTGCTATCACTGATCTACCCTGTAAGTGATGTGGTAAGTAGGAGATTTTTTTTCTCTTTTCCTGAATTTTATTTACCTGCATCGCATTCCACTTGGACTTGAAGTTAACTTATTGTTCTAATGAGTCAGTTTTTCTAGTCTAGCGTGGCGCAAATTGTTATATTTAATTCACTAACATCATCATTCGAGTTGAACTGTTTAATTCCCAATAGTCCTTATTCTTACCTTCTGATAATAAATGAAAGAACACTATTTGCACTGAATTCATATAAAAATTATGAAACAGTTATTCATGTTTGTGAGGAATGCCTTTAATACTAGTTTGAGCTAACAATCCTTCTAACTAATTATTATTTGGCTAGGGAATTAGGTATTGTTAATATATATTCTGGATAGATACTTACACTACTGCTTTAAGTTATGAGTTATTTTGTCAGTAGATGCCATCTTAATCATGGAGATTACAATCTTATCTTTATGTCCAAGCCTCTTATTTAGAATGTCTTGACTAGTAAGAAAAGGTTCAGCAAGACTTGCAACTATAACTTGTGTACTTCAAGAACCAAATTGTTCTTGTAAGAAATCATATGATTTGATAGCTAGACTAAAAGAGACTGTTTATCACATTCCCTCCATCCTGTAAAATATGTATTGATGCTGAAAATGATAAGATAATTGTTCATTCTCTCTCCCTGAATTTTATTTCTATTAACCATTGCAGGACTATTTATTTTCTTTATCCTCAGTTAGAGTTTATCATTTTCTTTTTAAATTTTATTTAAAATAAATATAATGCACTTGCATTTTTGCTTATATCTAGGACCTTACTTTCAGAATCAATATCTGCTGCATCACCTATTGATTCTAAACACCCCTGCTATCCTTTATAATATATACCTAAACTCTTCTAGTTAAGCAAGCCTTATTACATTTTGTAATTGCGTTTCTACTTCTGTTAGATAGTACATTTGAGCTTGCACCTTTCTCTTTTGTTACTTGTAGCAATTCGAAGTGATATTTAATCTTTGAGAGAATAACAAAAATGCAAGTGTTCGGCTACCAGAACTATGCATAATAAGTTCTATTCACATATATTTATGAGTCTTCAATAATTTTACTTCTGTCTTATGGTAGCTATCATGTGTCCACTTTACGAATTCAACTAAAGTCTTAATTCCAAAATATTTAATATCTGGTTCAAATTTTAAGTTTTCTTATTATTGCATATACAATTTTTCCCATGAGAACTGCAACATTAAAATTAAATCCACAAAGAGTTAAATCCTGCAAACTAGACTTACCTTTGCTCATAAGCAGTGGAAATCTTTATGAATAACGTATTGCTTGGTTAAAACAACAGAGGATTTTATGATGTCTCCTTCAGAACTCTGTAATAATGTAATTCTTACCTTTTTCATTCTGTAAACTTGTACTAATTTTGGATCTGATCCCCTTTTTCCTGGAATAGTTTACTCATGTGATTCTTATTTATGATTCCGTAAAAAAATAGTATCGATAGACATGATTAATGTGTGAAGGTATGCGCTTCAGGTTATTATTTTTTGATGGATACAGTGTTGTTGCGAAGCAAAATATATAATATCTCCCATCTCCTAATACTAATTGTCCTGCTTAGATAAACACGCATATTCTCTTTCGATTCATCTTTAATACCAAGAGTTCTTGGATAATTTTTTACGAGTATGTAACCCCTCAAGTGATAGATATTATTTTGACTCTAAAATATACATGAAATTTATACTTTAAACTTTAGCAATACTGTAACAATCAGGTACTCGGTTATGTCTATCGGATATCCAAAAATTTATACTTTTCTTAAAAAGTTTGCTAGATGGTTCTTACAGAGATTGTACTGCTTAAGTAATGTCTTCTAATCCTTGCGGCGGATGTTTAGAAATGAATTTCTATATTTGGTAAGAAAATGCACAATAAGTATGCCTTCCATTTTTTATTTGCTCCAATAATTCAAATTGTACCCATAAGAGTGGAAGGTAGTTTTATAAGTCTGCAATTGAGTCAGGATATTTAATTTGATGCGTTGTTGCTTACCTCAGGATTTTTTCGCTCTTACTGCCATCGGCCAATTCATTCTACCTCCCTATAACTGTACTTTTTTTATTTTAGAATCTTAATACATCCCTTGAGCTAACATTTCAAATCATAGTATCACATATTTTGCAATAATAAGTTTTGAATAATAGAGCTTTCATTATAAATCGATGATAACGACAAGTTTAATAGAGTCATTATATACAGCTGCCTCCATCTCGTAAGGTATGTAATTAATGAGTAAACAGTAATGTATTAACTATAAATATATCTAGAGGTCTTGACAAATTATTTTTAAAAAGATTTACATCTGTTAATGCTATTTGTGCATACTTTCTCCAATGTTTTAAGCACTAAATAAAGTATGCAAGGTGCATATCTGGTTATAAATCTTAAATGCTCTGAGTTTAATTCTTGTTTTCCAGATTGTTTATTTATTTCTTATTCCTCATTTAAGAGCGAGGTAAGATTTGCAAATTTAGTGCATGAAGGATACAATAAATAGAAACCTAGATGCAAACAGAAATAAGCACTGATGTCATAATATTTTAAGATAGTACAACATCAATTCAGCAAATACAAGGTGATGTAGGATAATTGCAATTGTTATACATGTATTTCCAGCACACCTATTCAACCAATAGTTGAAAACGCTTAGGTTATTTCATAATATAATGTCTTAATAGATATATTTTATACATGAGCTACTGAAGATTGATATTATAAAGTAAAAAATCCTACTAATGATAAGCACAATAAATCAGTAAATGAACATTAAATATGGCTATCAGGACATTATAGAAGGAGAGTGAACGCTAAGGTTTAAAATCTCCAGTATAAAGATGATTTTCAATCACATAGGACCTATAATTTGTTGTAGTTGAGGTACATATCTATCAAGCATACAACAATAACTTTGTCTTTAATTACTGCAAGTAAGGAATATTAATACTTAAGCCAAAATATTTTAGTAGACCTATCTATTACTTTCATCAGAAGCAGCTCTATTACTTACATATTTATTAAAGCAAGTTAGAAATGGTGATGCTGATTCACTATTAGACTCACACAATTTAAAAAGTAAAGTGAGTTGCACCCACTTAATTTGTTAAGATATACAGCAGGCTCAGCAGCATTAGAAACATTAATATTAGATGTCTAGATTAATAATGTATCACATATACCTAAGGTAAAAACTTTTATGATTATACCAATAGACATGTTAACAATTTTTGGATTATTAAAGTTATA